CTATTTAAGTTATTGAAGTGGCACCAATTAACTTATGACCATTTGTCCGAAATGGAGAAAGATTGTTGTGTCAAAAACTAGACCTCACTTGAATATCCAAAGCGAACGGACTATGTACCAGTTGAGGGGAATTTACATACCAAAAAGAAATTTATAACAACGATCTGTATTCTGAGTAGGATCGCTGATGGCTTCATGGATTTAATTAAGGAATTTCAAAGGATTTTTTGCACCTTAGAAAAGTGGTTTCCATTGATGAACTAACTAACTAACTAACTAAACATATCATTGATTTGCTCTGTTCCAGAGGAGTGTCGATGTCTGCTTGGCAATAAATACAGCAGCTGCGTTCTAAACGCTGCAAGTGACACACAGCCTACGCTCATTTTATTACACAGTAGGTCACATGTCTCGTTTGTGTCGTGCTATCTTTAGTTTCCAAAATAACCACTTCATCTATTTATATTATAATTATCATAGTTACGCTCACGGTTAGTTCAGAACAGACACTTCCTAACCGACCACTGAGCAGTAAAGTACTCCCCTCCAAAAACTGAGATCTGCGAAATAATATAGTTTTTTGACAGCCCAATCCATTTAATCCGTAAATCAAAACCCATTACTGCTAAAAATTTTGCGAAAAAGGATTTCATTTGGGTTTCGACCTGATGTTTCTCTACCCAAACGCTCTCGAAGGTGCAGTATTTAGCCTATTTTACTTAAAACCTCTTTTGGTTAGGTGAAATATGGGTCTAATAATACCAGAAGAATTAGGTTTATATGATAAATTTGAACCAAAATTTCAATCTTCATTGTATTTCCTTGTAAAATACTTCCCAAACCATAGCGCTTCTTCAAGAATCAAATCTGTAAAATCAGGTAAAATTTTATATTCCTGTTGAACTCGGAACACGAAACATGAAATAACCAATGCCCGCTGGGAAATTCTTTGCCTACTTTGTATTGTGTCACTTTTTTGGTTCGCATTAGTTTCACTCCCTTGCATTCGCTTGATTTACGCAAAACCTGAATCACCTGAGACTTATTTTTGAAAGCACCTCTCAAGGTAAACCTTAACATGCTGTAGAGTACAAAGGAGGCTTGTACCTCCCATAATACTTGTTATGTTAGCTTTCTTACCTCCTCTCAATGCCGTCACTTTGGCTCTTTACAACCTCTGTGTTACATCAGCTTTGATGCCGTTTGCTCTTAAAATGCTGCTGTCACAATTAAATAATCACAAAAAGCAGAAAGCACGAGTCTGTAATTTAATTTGTTGCTTACTGACACAAATATTTTATCCATAAACCCATGAAGAGTGTTTTAACTTGAACGTGAAAATTTGCATCAGTTTGTGATCTGCTGACCCATATTTAGCTGCACACAACACGTCAGTACATGGCCAAGGTACACTAACGCTTTGCATAAATGTGGCAGTATCTACGCTGTTAAGAAGCACCGTCAAAGCCTGGAAAGTGAAATGTCAAAAATGCACCCCAAGAGCTTGAACAAGTCTTGACTTCATGCATTAGAACTGCACGCGAAGTAATTTATGCCCACAAGTCAACGACTTTATCACAATGCAATTTTGCTAACTGTACTATTGCCTTTTTATTTATCATTAACTTCCTTTTTATGGTTACTAATTATGGGTCGCTATAGGCGTCCAATTTGGGGGGGGGGGAACAACTACAAGTAGTTCGCTGGTCAGGTTTTAAGAAAAAAAGCTGTTACATTAGTGGCCCAATGTGAAGCATAAACAAGTTCTAAGGATAAACTATCACCAAAACAAAAATTTGGCACCATGTGTAGGTTAGACGATGCATCAGGCAAGAGTATTCTCTTTTTCACTTAGTTGAATAACAGATTTACTTTGCTGAAATATAGCAGACCTCCATGATTGACTTTTAATGCATTCTTCTGCTTTTCGACTTAAGATTGTAGAACATGACTAGTGTCCTAAATAAATCAAGACCTTTTACGACGGTTGTGCCCCAATGATGAACTCATTATGCTTGGTCTTGTGGGTAATTAAATACGTATGTGCTTGACAAGAGGATCACGCAACGCACTTGAACCATTAGTGCAAAATCCAACTATCAACAGGTTCTACTCAGGTGAACGATGGCTTCTTTCGCCATGAATGAGCTACGCTTTTAAAGGCATTCCTGTCTGCTTTAAGTTCTCTCCTTTCCATTCTTTCTTTGCCGTCCCGCGCCACTCTTAATTGAATCTTTGGATTTTGTTTCCTCAGATCTCTGCTTTTACAAGCTTTACACCACTCCAAGCAGTCAATATTTTGTGAATGTCAATGCAGAAATACTCCATCATTTTAAGATTTTTGATTTGTCTAGGTGTCAACACTCCCTCCCAATATCTCACTCAAGCAATCTGCAAGTGGCATTCTTGATATTTCACCATGTTCTACTTTACTCCTGTGGTGTTTAGTACTGTTTTCCCACCCCCAAAACCACACTGCTTTGTCATCATTTAGCGCTGCAACAGTGTCAGCTATTTGTTTCCACCAGAGGTGGTTATTCGTTCCTGAAATTTATATTTCAAGCTACAAGTGCAAGGCATAATGAATAAACAACAAGACAAATTAAACGGTATTTGACACTGCGACGACTTACGTACATGATTAGCTAAATCTAGATGTCAGACGTACGGATACGCATGCACGCCCACATGTTGCTGTTTGTTGCAGTGTTTGTGACATCACAGGGAGCCAGGAGCCACTTAGTGTTATTCTTGAGCTAACAACCAACCCCGTGACCTCCACCATCATCATTCTTATTGCTCATAAAGTGAAGTTTTTCATCTTTAAACTTTTAGCCATATGCCGTTTCGCTGAATTGTGACCCTAGAAAAACTCAAACCTGCAAACGATCGTAGAGTGTGCAAATGTGCCGGGAATTGAACGCACTCACAGTACGAGACTACGACGCAAGACGCCAAACACAGAGGCTCATACGGTGGGTGTGGATGTAGCACTACTCCAATCCCCGTTAGAATGATCGAGATGGCCTAAATGAGCACGTGCTTCATAGAAAATTGTAACTTGGAGAAAGAAGTGGTGAGACTTCGGACAGGGCATTTCTCTTAAACAAAAAGTAGTTGCGACCTGTGAATTATTTTGTAGAAACTACTATTTTGATTCGCAGACGGAGATTCTTATATGTCAATATTATTAATACTGTATTACTATCACAGGGAAGTCATTATCATCCTAGATGGGCTCGTTACCTTGGAAAGTGTTTGGACAGTCGGAACGCACAGAAAGAAACCATCAACGTATACAAATGCATTTTATGTTGGCAGGGGTCACCGGGTTTTATCAACTCACGGGGTGTTGACAATGCTACCCGTCAGAGCAGTTAAGCGCAATGCCTACTAAAAGCCATGTATATTCTGTGAGATAAATGGTAGGCAACAGGACCTACAATGAAAACCGCAAAAGTATATGATTAGGAATCACTCGTTATCCATAAAAGTGTGTGCTATCAACTTGCGGTGACAATACGAAAGAATAGGTGACAATCGTACTTCCCTCAATGGACGGTCAACAAAGGACTTGTCGGTAATTTGGATCAACAAGGAGAACGTCAGATTGAACTGGCAGATTTCATGGGGACAGGCACATTCTGACTTTTTGAGTGTTTTAATCCTTTACTGGCTTCATAGCTCAAGGCTCTCAGCTCCAATTTAATCAGCAAGCAATAAATCTACCTGATTGAACTCAACGGCAAGGTAGGAAAGTGCTTCACAACTCGGGGCGCAAACTTAAGAGAAAGTAACTTGGGTTTAGGAAATGGGAGTCGAGTCATGTCCTTATTGACGCTGCAACCAGGGAATCCCTCGCCTGGAAGGCACATTTCTAAAAATTACCACGCACTACCAAATAACGAAATTCGTGAACTGGTTTTTAGACATAGCGGCAAAAACAGTGCTAAGCAGGATGCGATCAGGTATTGAAATAGAATTTTGAATCGTCGATAGAATCAGTTAATTCATTTCTATAATTTACAATAATCTTCAGTAAAGAATGATTGTAGCCGCCCTGAGAAAATACGCGGAAGCTAGGCAAGCCAGTAGTCAAGTAATTTATGACATCCGAATATGAACTGAAACGATTTTGTTATATTCCTAGGCCTTGAAACCTTAACTGGGCAAGAAATTCTTAGGGATAATTATTTAACATCCAAAGTACGAACAGGTTCCAGATAGGCTTCAACATAACTTTGTTTCATATTACGGGCGTGATACAGCGATTAAAGCACCAGATTTAGCCGTGTTAGAGATGAACGAAAACTAAATACATGGTATTGCATTAACACAACCACCAAGATCCAATTAAGCAGTACAAACACACCTTACTACAGGGTGATTGGTTCTCGGTATGAGTAGACTACATTCCAGCCAATGGAAATGCATACATTAAACTGTTCATGAAAAAGACAAATATGGCCTGAGGACTAAGCGCGTCACATATCGCCTTTACGGGGATCACAGAATACACAAACATTTATTTACATAAAACCGATGTTTTAAGGTTAAGTTGGCATTAATTTACGTGTATCGAAAACCTGAGGAAATAAATAAGTGAAGAGGCCATGATAGTGGGGAATGTCAGTTTATTACTTACACGATCAGCCTGAAGGTATGTAAATAGGAGGGAAACCGGATAGCAATTCAAAATGGTATCGACCACAAAGCTACTTCAGTGTTCTACAGGAGGGGCTGAAGTGAAAGGAAATATTTAATTTTACAAAATCATAGGTGACTACGGGGTTGCTGAAAGTACTTAAATGCTGCATAAGAGCCGAGCGAAACGTCACGGCCGAAAGTGAAATAAAATGCTTTCAAAACATGCTGGTAACGTATCAAAAAAATAGACCAAGAGCGAAGCACAAGGAAGTTAGGCGGCACTATATACAGGTCTTGTTTATTGGAAAGAGGCTCCAGTTTACTAAAGAAGCCTGGGCATAAATGAGTCAGAGCTACGCTGAGGGTTGCGAAATATGAGGAAGGCGGGGCAGAACTCCGGCAGAGGGAAGATCCACGCCATTTGCTATGGAACAAGTGCGCCGGTGGTAGTAGAATGAGGCACCCCATCTGTAGCGTTTGCCGCAGAGCTTACAAACATACTTCCCCTCCGCTCTGTGTTTTCCGTCGACATGCTGTTTTAAGGAGAGTTTCGAGGTAAAGTCCTTGGCGCAAATGTTGCATATAAATCGTCTAGACCGGGACTTTGAAAGCAGAACTTGTTCAGATGGTTTGAATGTATCGATAACCGGCAGACGAGGACGAAGGGGATGGATAAAATGAAGGCACTTGGCGGCATGCTTAAAATACGACTGTACATCGGGAAGAGAAACTCCACAAGGGCAGGTAAATTCAACAGGCGCAGTAGATTTCACCAAATTCTCTTCCTTTGTGCCGACCGATACAGTTTTGGCAGGTTGAGATAAATCCAAAACAGCGTTATCATTTACTGATGTTGACGTAGGGCTTGCATTGGTAGTCGTATCTGATTCAGCATCGCACCCAAGCATCTTTTTACAGGTGCGCATATGGTGGTAGTAAACCGGGGGCCAACGGTAGACTTTGCAGCACCAACGGCATTTGTACCTCGGAGGATAATGCAAGTGCATGTGTTGCTCCAAAAGTGATTTACTTTTAAAACCCTTCGGACACTTTGGACATCCAAAAGGTCTGTCGTCTGAGGGACCCTTAATTGGCACCACAGGAGGATGCTTATAATAGTTGTAAAACGACAGTGGCTCCTGCAAACTAGTTTCGGGGCTAGTACTTCCGTTAGGCTCAGGACACGAAACATTGGGAGAACTTGATCGCTTTATTTCATCATGAGTTTTCGTTGGAGTTGTCGGGCTAGACCGCATTGAGAGACTCGAATCCTGTAAGTCGTTTGTAGCCAGTGGACATGCTATATAATGTCTCAAAAACGCTGGCAACCGACAAAATGACAGCCCACAAGTGCAGGAGAAGCCGGCTTCAACTGAGTGATTAGAATCAAAGTGGTCGAACAGCTTGGACATGCTCTCAGCAACATATTGGCACTCGGGACAAACGCTGTCCGGAGTAGCTTTAGACCTAAGAAAATCATTAAATAAATTAGATAAACTACTCTAGTTCCGTTTGGCAACTTATATAGTGCTCAAGCAGTGTTTGCATAAAAGTGTTATCTGCGCAATCCAACTGAGCATATTTTTGCTTGCACGTATAGAATTTAGCGACAGTATCCTTATGAAGTATAAGTGTTGCCTAAAGAGTCTTAAGTAAGAAATAATAGATGATATACCGCATCGTGGGAATCAAATGACATCTTTCCAAAAAACCCCTTTGTTAGTCAGAATGTAAATTCAAACATACGCCAAACCCTGCCACAACACATACACTAACGCACACATACACCACCAAACACAAAAGGAGTAATTGGGATCGTAAGCCAATTGGATTCTAATTCCATAGATGGAACGACCTTCATTCATTTAAATTACTCGATCAAGTCCGTGATGTTTAAAAAAGGGCAATAATTCACAAATTGCATTTTTTAATGCCTTAAAAAATTCCAAAAAATTCGCATGCATTTAAATTTTAAATTCATTTCCAAAGATACAAAATATTTTTCAAATTCTTTTAAGAAAATTCACCATTTGGCAATCTGGAAGGGCTCAATAGAATAAAACCATGATTAATTCTGTCATAAAAATGTGCTATGATTGACAAATCGTGCTGAGAAATTTGTAAAGATAGAAATTAAATTGTAGATATGATTAGCCTAGTTTGCTTGAGGAACGAATGGTGCTTCCCAGAATCATATAAGGTCTGCGACAGTTTGGTAATGATTCAGATTTCCACGCTTTTCCCTTATTTATAGTTTAAAAAATTGACAATGATTTCTGAGAATATGCTTTTAAGAATTTTCTTCAAATATCGTTTGCTCGTTGCATGGCAATCACATCAAAAGTTGCTGGATTGTGCTTTGATGTGAAAAAGCCATTAAAATTGAACCATTTTTATAGGAAAACCACTAATTGCTTGATCCTAAATTATGAAAGGAATGACAATTACAAGTTTGTAGTTTATTATTGGGTGTAACTCTGTCTTGCTGCATGACCAAAACTTAAATTGACCGGTTTTATTAAAGTGTGATGCGATAGTATTTGTGAATGTGTTCCGCATTTTTAGAAATATTTAAGGTAAAATACATTATAATCTTAGCTTGCTAGGTCAAATTTTTATTTTATTGCCGAAGTTGCTTAGTACCTTCAGGACCAAAAGGTGCTGAACCAAAGAAAGGATTGGCAGGTATTGATCCCAAAATTACATTTTGATGTTCCACAAATATCACTAATATAAAACTTTAAATTAATAGCGCTTTGGGAACTTTTCAAAGTCGCCATCATGAAAATAACGTAGCTGTTTCATGCACGTTTTTTTAAGTATCTAATTAAAATATGTTGAGACTTCATTGTCAAATTATGTTGCGTTTTAATCAGTATTAAAAAAGGGGCGGGTGTGAATATTTTTATGTAGCCAATTATATTTGTCGTTGTGCATAAATCCCTATATGGATTCGCTAAAGCAGAGGCTGGTGGATGCACGGGATACTATAATCAAGCTTCAATGTGAACTCGATGAGAAAGACAAGGAACTTATTAAGATCGTATGCGAGCAGAAAGCTGTACGTTTCACCCTCATATCTTACGACGTCACTCAATTTTAGCTTTCGAAAGAGGTAATGTCCGCTCACAAAAAACGCGATGCTCTTGAACTCAACTTGGAACAAACGCAAAATAACCTTAAAAAATGTCTGGTACAGTTGGAGGAGTGTGAGCGGGCCGCTGAGGAGAGTAGAAAGTGAGTCAGTGTTTCCTATGAATAATCTCGTTATTGCAGAGCGGCCAGCAATCTGGCCAAGAAAAGAGATGCCCAGGAATTACTCTTGTCGGGGCTTGAAAATAAGGTTGTAGAAGTCAGTGAAGCCGCTAAAGTAGCACAAAACAAGTTTACCGAGGTTCGATGGCCTCTCCCTATTACTACCCTTTAAGGCGGTGCATAAGTTACGGGAAATCGAAGAGAAAACTGATCAAATGGAAAGTTTAATTGAAAAGAAGCAAAGGTCCGCGATTATCACTTATGAATTCTGTTTAGGACACTTTCTGAGCTACATGAACTTAATGTTCTTTACTCGAACAAGCTTAAGTCTTTCGAAACATCAGCCGAGTCTGTAGGTTCCGTTCTTTTCAATCCTAGCTATTTCTCTACTCCTTCTGGCTCGCCTAATGCTATCATTTGCATGTTTTTTTATTTCTTTTGTACTATTGTTGTGTTGTTCACTATGGGTACTTGTATTACTATTCAGTTTGCAAATCGCAACTTTGGGTTTCCATCACATTAAGAGAATTACATCGCGCTGACTTTTTCTCTTGACTATGGCAGTTCTGATTCCGTTTTTGACCGCAGATAAACTATGCACCTAATGTACCGTCTATCAAAACCTATATTTAATTGTGCAATGGACTTCGTGTTTACTGCTTTTTTTAAAGCAAGTAAGGTCATATTCATAAAAGCAGATTTTATGGTTGAAATTTGAATCGGCATGCTACTGAAATATGCCATTATTTTCGTAGTAACAGGAAGTAATCGATTCTTCATTTATTAATAACTAATGCTCCGTTTACAGGCGAATTCAAGCGTCGAATGTATTGAAAAAGAAATAAAAGAGGTCCTCGAAAAGCTTAATGCCGTGAGTTGATAAAAAAATAGGCTGCTTTTTCGAACCCTTCTTTCGTTTTATTGCCAAAATTTCCTTATTTGTGGGCTTTTTAGGCTAATCAGAGGGCGAAATACGCTGAACAAAATGCCCATCTAAATCAACTTGAACTGGCTAGGCTTGAAGGTATGTACTGCAAGCTCAGTATAGCTCTTCGAAGTGACCGATGTGCATTAAGTGGTATTTATCGATTGTCATTTTGAATTTCAACACTTATTTATGTGCTTTATGTGATTTTGAAAACGAGGAAATTGTGATTTTCTCATAGACATGTTCATAATGGGGCGGAAAATATACAACCTCATTAAACGAAATGTATAAGTTGAAATTAGGTGATGTCAGAAAGAATAGCAGTGTTGCATTCTCAGATTGATCATTGATTTCCGCCTAAATTCTGTATTGAAGTTGTGTATGACCAATTCTAACAGTAACGCATATTGGTGTTCATATACTGGAACAGAATCTTCGTTTCGATGTCCTTGTCAAATCAATTTTTAATTTTTTTTTTTGGAGTAAAGGTCAGACATGAACTTCACTTTTAAATTTCTGGTAATTTTTTTACATTTATTGTTTTTGTTGCGTATAATTGTGTTCAATCAATCTAAATCGGTTGCTGACCTGTGCGGTTCATCTCGAACATTGTAAACGTGACTACTTAGCATGCGATTTAGCTCATGCTGTTCGTTGGCACTAAAACCTTGAGAATTTAGACTGCCATTCTGAACGGATTGATATTTGATTCTCAACGAGTATCTAATCCGATTTTGCGTTAATACTCTTGCACAAAACGTAATTGGTTGTTATTGTTACAGTAGGTGCGTTTTTCAAGCGTTGCTTGCTAAATTACGAGATAGTGTAAAATTATAGTAGCACCAAAACCTTGTTAAAACCGCACTGTGTTTATATATGTGCGTCTGATTAAGTGTGGATCTATTTGTGGACAATTTAGTAGTCTACTTTTAAATAACATCAATTTGCGATTGAGGAAAGTTAACGCCGATTACCCCGCAATGATTTTCAGAATGTGATTTTTGGAACGTAAGGTCAATACTAGTTTGTTGGCCACCGCTTGTTCTCAGCATCTTGTAGCCTGGCCTTGAGAGCATTAAGTCAGTTCTTATCGTTGTCTCAGATTTGTAAAAAAAATGGACTGGACCTCTTGCGGTTAAGACAACGCGGCAACAACTGGACCGATTAAGCTATCGGCTGACTTTCCCACACACTGGCGCCAGGATTTCAATCCTAGAATTCGTGTCAAATCACTTTCACGGTTTTCGGAGGTGCTTCCACTTAGTACCTTATTGTAGCGCTTTTTGCTTTGTAGATGAATTGGCTGATTGGAAGGATAAAAACACGTGTCTGAGGTCCGAAATTGAACGAATAAGCGTGGAACTAGAATGATTGAAACGGCGAAGTAATCTATCAACGCAAAGTATTTGTCCACCCTGCTTTTCAGTAACCATTCCTATTTTATTTTAACCGCCTACTCCTCCCCCCTTAGCCGCCCATGGTCTCTGCGCTGGATAATGCGCGAACACATTCCTCACCTTCCTTTGTTACATTTGCATACACGCGCAGCTATTCGTATGGCCCTTTGAATCGCATTTCGGCGCGCTTTATTCGTCTCAGTTAATCCTTTTTGAAGTAATTTAGGAATTTTAATTGCTTGCAATTTTGATCTCAGTTTTGGTAGGTTGTCTGCAGACATATCTCTCACCATTGTAACGGCAGATTGGTTTGGGCCAAAATCGAAATGATACGTTGCACTGTCTAGTAGATTCGATCATCTCTTGGTCTATGGATCCTGCTTGATCCGCTAACTGACCCCTTGACGGAACCCCATCCCAGGACTTAGACCCTCTTTTAAGGCAAGGGTGCACTTTCAAGTTGGCCCTCGTTACCTGTCAAGTACAGCATTGTCATCTTTAAGTATCTAAATCTGCAGCCCCTGTATTTCTATGCTCAAGTGTAGGCCACGTTTTATTCTATACGAAGGGAGGCTGGTTTGGTACTCAAACTTGATGTTCTCTTACCGTCACGAGGAAATATTACCACTTTTCAAAGAAGATTCCGACTGCTTATTTGCAGAAATGGTACACACTTTCGTGTCGACTGCTTATCTTATCAGTGGGTTGAATTTCGTCAAACTTGACTTTGATCCGTGAAATTTGTCGTTGTAATCACGGCATTTGCACAAAGTAGGACTAAATTCTTCATCAATCACTAAATAGACCAGAATAAAGTTTTAAAACAGTGTAATTTTGCACACCAGATCAAGTGGGTCTTTCTGAAGTCGTTGCAGGACAAGCGGGTGACCATCACTTGATCAAGCCACACGAAAGTATGCGAGCCTGTCCGTTGGTTTGATAATCCATTCGCCCTTTATCAAATTGGAGTGGATACAGACGTAGTACCTCTGGTAGTACCGAAGCATATTTTTAAAAAAAATCGAAAATGCGGGAAAAAATTACTTTTATTTGTCAAATTATTAGCAATCGAAAAGACGGGATGGAAAGAGAGAGCGGGTTTTGCTAATAATGGAGTCATTTACATAACACGATTGAATGAGTATACATGTGAATGTGATATGTTGGTTCAGTGAGGTGACTGCGACTCGAAGCACAGGAGTGTGCACTACTCCTGGCTCTCTCCCGCCGCCTCCTCCACAAAGCCAGCCCATTCGGTCTTCGCGTCGGATTCCTCAAACTCCGCCGAGTGTCCCACCTGATGGATGCCCAGCCGAAGGGAAGGCGTGCCATGTCCCTTGCCTGGTTCAGAAAGGGGAAAAGGCACCTGATTCAACCGTTTTTTTTTGTTGAAGTGCGTGTTGTCTTGTTGACTCTTAAACCAACCAAATTAGTCTGTGGGTCGCATTGTCAACATTTTCATTTCAGTGATGTTAGATAACGTATTCACGCGGTGGGGGATTACACGTCCTGTGGTCGTTTTTATGGTTCGCCACCCAAATGAAAATACAAAACCGCAACGCCCGAGAATAAGTTAGCAAGTATGAAAGGTCGAAAGGCACCTAGTATTTGCGTGTCCTAGCTGAACCCAGAGGATAAGGTCGAGCGCATAACTTAAAGTCTGAAAGTCCCGAAGCAATGGACATTTAGCTATGCATCGGAGCTATCGAATGCAATCGTTGGCAGAAGCAATCACATGAGGAGACTCCAGCAGATGAAAGCCGCGCGAGCATAAAGCTACGCAGAATGCACAAGTGGTAGACGGGTTTTCTGAGCTGCATATCACAAAATTCTAAGCACTACAAAAACACGTGCTTCATCATAAATGTTGCTGCAAGTTCTCACGAACACCGGGTTAACCTTATTGTAACATGTGTGTGCTGCATACATGTCGAGGGTGGTAATAAATGCGGAAGCTACGTGATGCAACAACCGAACATGCAGCGGTCAAGCGAGTAACTTACACTGCACACACACACACACACCGCTAGCATACCAATCAATCTAATAGCGTCCAAAGTAGTTATCGTGAAGCCTGTAGTTGGAAGTTTAAATGAAAACAAATGGAACTCCAACAGATTGGTACTTGCAGGATTTGATAAAGATTTGATGCCTTTCATCTTCGTATCTGTCTAAAATGCAAAATTTCTAAGCAAAACTGTAGTATGATTCGTCACTCCGGTGTTGGGCTAGAAATTTTGTTTGACACATTGGGCCAGTACATTCTGAAACCATGTAGGGATTCCAGTCACACGCATTTCGTCAAACTGATTGCTGCAGACACACACAAATAAACATTCAAGGTTGGCTTGACGTTAATCTGACAAGCACTCTAAAGCGACCTAAAGAAGTCGGATCGCCAAGCAAAGGAGATGTGAGTGCCAAATGTCTCCATGTGCCTTTACAGAGACTTCAACTTACCCAAGGCGTTTCCACGCAGAATGAAGTAAACGCATTGGTCTTGGTGTGCGACACTCTTCAGGGCGAAATTCTCGAACAAGTGAGGATTGGCAGTTGTGGTCATTCTCAGTGTCAGTTTGTAGACTAAGTGGAAGGCAGATAAGAACGAATATGGTGAGCTTCAGTGTCACATCTGCACTTGTGATTGGTATAATTCAGAGCAAGCTTACCACACTTACACATGTTGATGCAAGGTTAAATGACCTGGGTTTTTGAAAGTAACCATTACCTTGGTCGTATCACCAAAGTTATTAAAAAATAGCCACAAGGACAAAGGAACATGTTCCCACACCATTTATGTGCCTCCATCTCCAGACTGAACTGCGGGGTAGGCGCAGCTTGCTACTTCACTAAATAATTTATTTAAATGAATAAATTGATCAACACAGAATTGTCCCTCCTAGTAATAACAGAGGTTTACATGTACTAGATAATCGTGCAGAAAGGGTTAAGTCAAGTGTCTTCGAAAGACATAGCCACAATGCGACGGTTAGCAGCCGATTCGATAGACTCTCACAACACAAGCAACGAAGTTGCAAGTAATTTACGAGATACAAATTCGCAGCGCACTGGCTGGAGGGAGAGGAAATTGTCGGGAGGGGAGAGCAATAAAAAGTATCGCAGAGGTTGTTAAGCCGCTGGGGCGCTACCATAGCACGTTATGACATCCAAACACGAAATGCATATGTAGTGCAATTGCGTGTAATTATTCCACAGTGTGTTTTATCACCCGAAAGGTGATATTAGGGACTCTATTTTTTTACACAAAAGCATTTGCGTTACTTTTCGGCAGGAGGAAAGGCATCATTTTAACTGTGTGGAAATAGTTTAATAGCAGAAATAGAGACAAATCTTAACGCTCTCCAGTCATACACACATTTTCTTTTATAACCAACTTACTTTTAAATCCAAACATAAGTAATCACATTCATGTTTAGTACCTCTCGTTTTTTGAATTGTACGATCGTAGGGGAGAAGATGCATAGTTTTAATGAGGTCCAAAGTACCAGAAAAAAAGTTTCACAAATGAATTGAACATTGCGTGGCTTTTTGTCACGAAATTTATATTCCCATGCTGCTCTTGTATAAGTCTTTATACCGAACATTTACCAAATGCGAAATTTTATTACCAGTCAATTTAGTTTTCTTGCTGACACTGATTTGACCACCAGAGAATAACGCGAGTCAGACACGGAGCCCATGATTTGGTAAAGTAGCCTATTAGAAGTATTATTCATTTTAGTTTACCAGAATTTGTAAAACTTGATTAAGGCGATAGTGACCTGAAAACAGAACGAAGGCGCCATGCACGAAGTTAGGCCTGTGCTATAAATGTGGAATAAAACAAGCATTTTAGTGGGCAATTCGCATGAAATGGTTCAGGAGCATGTACAGGCGGTAAAGATGCCAAACACGACACCAGTCTCAATTAATCTTAAAGGGACAGGCTTAGCGTCATCCAGCAATGAACATGAATGTCACACAACGCACCGCTTTTCCATCAGTGTATTGAGTAAAGTTATGGCAAACTCAAACCAGTCTTGGGCACATTTAACGTTTGGAACGAGGAATCGTGCGACGAAAACGCGGAAGGCAGCAAAGTGGCTGTTAAAGGTGCATCAGCATCTACCAGATCAGGGGCACCCGTGAAAAAAAAGATGAACCCTATATTTTCACCGTTGCAACGCAGGTTGAAGCCAATGGAAATACAATTTAAGATGATCTAGAGAACGAAATCAGGAAGATAATCCACATTTTGAAAGCTTTGCAAATTCTGATTTCGCATATCCCCAATTTGCTTTGAGGAAATACGCATGCCATTGTACATAAATTTGGCATTTAATCTGGTTTGGAAAAGTACTCATAAAAGGTGTACTGGAGTTTAGGCTTAGATCCACGACTCAGAGAATGCGTAAACCGCTGCTTTGCACGTGAGAGCTGCGGCGAACTACTACCAGTCCGTAAGACACACAAAGTGGTCTCTGTGGTTAGTTTTACACCACCACCACCGCCGCCCTCTGTAAGTTGTTAAAAGTAAACGGAATCGTTTGAAGTTGCCCTACTTTGACAGGCGCCTGACAAAAAAAAGCTTTCTTCTGCAATTGAATTTTTTCGCCACTCAGAAAAAAATAACTGAGTTTAGTTTTGAGTTATGATGAAAAAATTGAACAAAATTTTTCGGATAAAAGGAGCTGCAACTCGCTTACTGCAAGTACGTGATACAGGAATGCCGACTTATCGAATATTTTTTTAGACCAGAAAAACTAATGTTAGATAAGTGAGGAGAGGAATTAAGGATTATCAGTGTCAATGCGAAATTTACTCCCAGATATATTTGTATGCACTTAGGTAACACTAAGATAACGAGGCGATCTCGAGTTATTTAGCTAATTTTTTCAACATAAAGCATGATGAACGTAGAGGACAGCAAAGTAGGCCTACGGAGGTCATCGAAACGCCTAGGGCGCCACCATGGCCAAGGTCACATGCACAGGCGTCAGGTTCTGTCCAAAATGAAGCAAACATACTCTGTGCATAGCGTCTGTTTTGAACACTCCCGATATCATTAAATCTACAGTTGCGCACAACTTTTTAATTATAACTTTGGGATGCACCTAATTTGCATAATTTATTCTACAGACTTTTTAATCAGAGTTGCAGCATATTTTAAACTTTGAAATTCGGTCCGAAAGTGTTCACCTCGTCTTGTTTGTAAGACGAGAAGTAAGAAAGCCAGTTGCACGGAAAACGTAACGCACCATCTTCGTCTTTCAAGTAGTCAATTTGCAAGACGTCCACTTCGGCAGAAAGCTGAAATTTTCGTCCCCCTTCGGGCACAACAACATTGGATCGAATGACCTCAACATCTTCCGTGTCGAGTCGGCCAGCAGCAGGAAGCAGGAATTGAATCTCATAAATGGTGTGCTGTCGCAGCATTCCGAGCCCAATCTCGAAAACAGCGAGCTCATCGGGGGCACCTGGAGGTCGGCAGATGGTGATTGGGCTACCGTCCTCATCGTCGTCGTCATCTTCCGTTTCGACGCCCGCAGGTCGTGGGCTGGCCGAGTGGATGGGATGGAGGAGACGGCAACTCGAACTAGTGCTCTTGATTGACACATTGTCGCCATCGTTAGAGGAAGTACAGGAGGCATCGTTGAGCAGCGCGGCGTTGAAAATGGCCGCCTCATGCTCGTGAAGGTGGCCATCGACAAGGAACTGAACACTACGCTTCTTACGGATGTTCAAATTGGGGCTCAGCTTTGCCGTATCATCAGCCATAATTTTATCTGGAGTTGAAAAAATCGGTCGTTCAAGTTCAGGCATAATCATTTTGCTTATAGATCTTATTGGATTAACTCCTTAGCTCGTTGTGACCTTAGTAAAAATATACGATAAAGTATTCAGGTCAAATAATGCCGGCAAGTACTACAAACCGGCCTATAAACTGTACAGCTACGATCGAGAAAACCCCGATATTTTAAAGTGGCAAGGAGAGGTGGTTGTGATTATGAGAATATACTCAACCAGGCACCACGAATATCGAGGCGAATCCTTTCGCTGAACAAGTCACGTCACATTCAAGACGAACTGTCAGCGGATTCAATCTAGCATAGTTTTGTTAAGAACAACGTTGAACGCTAAAAACAAAGAAATTAATTTCCAACGCATGGAGATTTAGAGAGAAGATATTTACCATGTTCATCCATTGAACGCTATGGCTTGCAATTAGAGGCTAAGGTTTAAACGACTTAAAACGGTGAAATGCAAAAAGCAGCAGCAATAAAAGAGGGTGTTAGTTGGCTCACGGAAAAGCAAAAAAAGGGTAAAAATATCGTTGCTGTCTGGTTCGTTTATTGGTTGAAAGAAATAACTTAAATAAACAAATAGTATCTCAATTTGAAAATACATCATACGCGAACTGACCAGAAACTTTGAGGCGTGTTGTGAAGGGAAAAAGTAGATGAGCCAGAAACACTTTTTGCCCACTTGAGCTAGATCTAATTAAATGCAACACGACAATTTGAAAAACCGTCGGGTGTGGAAGGAAGGAGATTATACAGTTCTTGGGAATTAAAACCAATGTTATTGTCATCATCTTCATTCTGATTAACGGGAATTAATGACTTCTCTTCTGATAAATTTGGAATTTTCTGGAATAGAAAAAAACAAAAGCTGTGCCCTCATGAGCGCGTTGAGGGATTGGACGGCAAAAGTTCAGTCATGGTCGATGGCCGAAGTAAACTAATGGCATTTCTCGCACGACAGCACCGCAGTGCCCGCTAGTAGTAAAAGGGCTGAGCTAACAACTAATCAATCTCAACGGTCATTAAGCAACGCTACCCTGGGTTAGACACCATAGGGATGCATTAGAGATGGAATTTGTCCGAAATATCCACATCACCAACACCCGGTGAATTGGAACAAGGGAGAAAGCAGGCAGGAAATTGATCGAAAAAACTCTGGTTTGACGCACTACTTTCAATCAGACATACGATCGAATGCAAGAATAAAATTATCAGGCGCTAAATGTAGTCAGGAATCTAGAATCCCAAAGAATTAAAAGCACAATAAAATGGGACTAACCAGCTCTGATGAGCATTACATTGATGTTTTTTCATTAAAAAGGCACTCCTTAAAATACTAGGAGTTCTAGTCGGAGGTTCAAGCTTGAATAAATGCCAAATTCCCATGGCGTGGGCAACTGAACCATTACGATGACGATTGTATAAACAGAGCTATGTGTAGTGTGGAGTTGGCTAGTGATGCAACATGCCAGTTTTTGAAGGCCAAAGCGTGAAGCAAGCTAGTGCTGATGAAGCTCTGCTGGCGACGTGAAATATGCCTTTTCATATTTAAGAAGTCATGCAAATTGGAAACCACACAAATTCCAGCTTACCCGTGTTCACGATTCTGCAAAACAGTGCCTTATAGTTAATGCTAAAATGACTTGCCATATTTGGGTGCACACCAGCTTAATTTCACGAATTTTAAAACGTGACACGTCGGCAAAGTAGGCGTTGCGCAAAGATGACAAAACCGCACAAACTTTTGCTAGTAAACAAATAACTTCTGGCAGACCAAGCATAAATCGGTAAAATTGTCGGCGCTTGGAGATAGATTGACGCGAAAGCTTACCTGCACGTCGTAACAACTCGCAATAAGGTGGAAGTGGGATCGGCGGGTGTCTGATCCAGTCTCGACGGAGGGGACAGGGCATGGCACTTGGCAAGGGGCTCGCCGCCGACTATGGACGCACAATTGCATGATGGAGCCTATTCTTAATTCAAGACCACTGGTAATGTGGTGCGAGATCATAACAATGTGGAACTGCGTAGTAAGGTAGTCTTTTTTTTAAAATTAGGGAAAACCTTTGCTAATTACACGCCAGTGTGAGCAACAAGCCATTAGTAAACGTTGGACCACGTTGAACAGGTGGATCATACACCTTTTGGTTTCTGACACGATTTATCGCACGTTGTCGTCGAATCTGCAGACTATCGACAATGTCGGGATAATTGAGAGAAAAGTTTTGTCTGCTTTCGCTAACGCTGAACGTTAACAAAAAAAATTAAGGCCCTATGGGAAGAATGTATTCAGGGAATATTCAGTGTAAAAGTATAACACCAACGATAATTGCAATTTCAGAACATATTCAATAAATAAATAAATGAACACATACTGTAAAACAAATTTGATTTATTTTAGGTGCAAACGCAGATTTCGAAAAGAGAACGTCGGCGTGCTCACACGTTCGATATTATTCATAATTTTACTAGTAAAAAAAACACCAACCAATTTGTGACCCTGTCGAAACACACTTGGTGCAGGTTGAGGTAAACAAAAATGCAAAAAAGTGTGCGATCTGGTTTTGCATAATTTTTATTCTAACATTCCAGACAGATTCGTTGTTGCCTGGTTCGCAAAAAATATCTTCATTTACAAAATTGAAAATCGTAAGATTTCCTGCTGAGAATTCAAGTAACGGAATAATCTCCCTAAGGGGACAGTAGAAGTGTCCAACGCCAACACAGTAAACTTGTGAAATGACAACATGCAAAAAGATAAGCGCTGAGAGCTCGACAAAGTATTAGTCGTTGGACATTTAGAGACCGGAATGTAATAAAAAAGAGATGAATCGAAATGAATACTTTAAATGAGGTTCTGGAAGCAAAGAGATGCATAAAATTAAAGCGTTTGAGCCAATGTCAAACGGCCAGCAGTCGACTGGAGGGCGTCAGTCTCTCGCCTGACCACCACCGACCACCGATTGAAATACGGCCACTTGGCCGGAAGTTGTCAAATTAAGCCAATAAAATGCAGTAAGAGCAAAAAAAACCCGTCCCCACCCAAAGTGCGACCGGACGTGTTTAAACAAAGTAACAACCGGATGTGCTGAAATAAGCAGAGGTCGCCCTTTCAGACAATCCGGTTTGTGTGGTTTCAGCCAGACTGCACGTTAAAAATTACAATTCGATTCACGTCTTACAAAGGTAAAAGTAACAGTCATCTAGTGTACAAAAATATGACACAACTTCTAGATGTGTTTACGCCACTTTGTATTTTACAGTCCAGGACACTACTTTTCAATCACAAGTGAAGCCAAAGTAACAACTTACGTATCTAAGGTAGTAAAGTAGAGTAAGGACTAAAGAAAAACTAGCATACAGTTTATAAAGCTAAAGAAATAAATAATAACAGTCAAAAGTGTTAATATTTACTTTTTGCACGTAACTTTAGATAGAAACGGCTAAGGAATTTGTCAACGTGACATCAGGACGGGATCTGGGAGAGTGCTCGTCTAAACGCAGAGGGGGAGAGGAATTCAGGAAAACGCGCGCGTAAAAACCCAGGTGAAGGACAGTGAAGCGTCCTCCGATTGGCTGGGGATGCCTGGCCCATCAGGGATTTGCATAAAACTCGGTGCAAAACCACTTTCAAGAAGTCACAAGCAAAAGCATTACTCGGTGGAGTATCACAGAGTATCCGAGCGTGAAGACAGGAGACAGCGGGATTACTTGAGGCAAATTCCAACTTTTATTTGTAATTTACTGTCCGTGAGAAGCAATGAAAGGCGTTTCCACTTAAAACGTGTTAGCAATCAAGACTTCATGTGCAATTAGGCCAAAAAACCGGTGGGTAAATTGGGAGGCTTGTGCAATAGACTTTGGCTACGGAAAAATAAGCTCATTGAGAAGCAACTGGTCGTTCCGAGTCCACAAAACTCACTAATCAATTTTCGTGAAACGTAACGATGCACGTTTTAGAAACGCGTTAGTTTTGAAAACGCCGCCTCTAATGTTAGGTGTGCCAACACAATTCGGGTAGGTTGTTGTTATGTTGGTGTTATCGGCACATGCAAATGACAGAAGTAAGCCTCCCTGGTAGACATCATTCACGCAGGGTGCAACAGCGAAGCCTTTGTGCATGCGCAGTGGCCATCAAGGCACGGTACGGACAGAGGTGCACTCTGCGTGCCACATAGAAGGGGCGTGACGAAAACACAGTTGCCTATTTTGTTTACGAAGGTATGCCTGGACAGGAGCCGTAAATTAAACAAGACGATAACAATTGAGCTATCTACAGAGACACTAGATTGAAATTCACGCAAAGGGATGGTTCAAGAGATTAATTTTTAAGTAGAATCCTCGGTGCTGAATGGAAGCACAGGCAAAGAAACTCTAGAACGTGCAATATAAACAGGAAACAATACCAAAGCTTATTAAATCAGGTCATGAATTAAACAAGACCAGCTGTACTCCAGAATACCACACACACACATGCAGTGCAATTACTTTAAATGTGAAAATATGGCCTGCGGAGACATGCAGAACTAGAAAGTGCCTCTTGAAATCAGGAATAAAGGCAAGAAAACAAGAGCTCATTTGCCATTGGGGTGAATGTTTGTCAATTGTTTCGGTTCGGTAACACTTAAACGAAGTGGTCATTGCCCAATGTTGCAGCAGGCAGCTACAAGCGACACCACGGCGCGCTAGAGAGAGGACGAGCGACGAAAAGGCGGCTGTTTGGTGAGCCGAACAACCTAAGGCAGAATTACCATTTCAGGTAGCCAGTTCTAACAGCCTCTACAGTGATTACTTTAGGGACCAAAAACTTCAACTCCCAAAAGCTAGATATGTTACCCAACGACAGGAAAGAGATTCAAACCCTGTTAATAAATTTCGTCAGTAGTGACGAAGAGTTAAATACGTTCAGGAGGAAATTTTTCACCGTGCACTTATCTGGCCCCTGTACTTACACACAAAATCAATCGATTTTATCCCAAAATCGCGAACTTAATTTTTTCTGAATTTGTTTTGGACAAAATATCCTAGAAAGTCAGTCGTAGAGAGAGAGAGTAACCAGCTTGGTTATGGTCATATAAAAGGGAAAACAGCATTATTACTACCAACCACAAGCCAAAAGCATTCTTTTGTTGGAATATTTATGAATAAGAAAGTTAAACAATGGATAGTGTTGGCTACACATTTAATGTGAATATGGAACATAAAAGGCAAAACATGCATAATTAAAAAAGAATTTATACTATCATAGTTAAGCAATCGAAGAAATGAGATGGCTATCTTAGAGGCAGTGCATTACCTAGGAAAAATGCGCAGACTGACAGAGTAAACCAAGTCTTGACAACTCAACCAATGGAACTCCGAAAGTTTGTCAGTGGTCACAAATCACACGATCACACCCACACGCAAAAAAAAACACTGAAACATACACAGGCGAACATATCCTGGAATTATACATCTACCAATCAGTGACCAGAAAAGATAGAAAATGCATTCAACTTTCAGTGGATAGTAGAAATATGGCTTGAAGTTTAAAAGCGAGGACAAGCACGTCACACGAGCATCAATGTACGTTTCAGTGAAGTTAAAGCCTACGAACAGGAAAAGAAGCCTTCCCACATATGCATAAAGCTACATCAAAATCGGAAGCATACCTCATTTAGGATGGAAATACTCGTATTCTCTTAAGATACTTAAAAGTTGTTGGAATGATTCAATAAAAAGGAAACGACCTAAGAGCGTGAAAGCAATAAATTCAATAAGAAAACCTTGGTACATCAATGCAGGTGTGACACACTGGGACGGGCAGCATCCGTCGCAGCAATCCAATCTTGGTTCGAGAAATCAACCAATAGCGGCTCTCCCGCTAAAGGTCACCAATGTTTAGCTTTCACTTCGATCCATGCTGCTACTGGCTTCCGGTTCGACTATTGGATTACCACAATAATTAGTGGAAGTGATTATTGTGGGAGAGGGGGTTTTGGGATAGACCTCCTAGCCTTTCATCGCATCAAATGCCTAAACAGATTAGACAGGTTTTTGCCCAAAATAGGATTCTAAATCGGTAGGAGACGAATACAGGCACCAGCGGACAAAATAAATTTGTCCAAGCATTCAGTGTGCCTGGCGAAATTCGGTCCAGTGCAGCCTACTTTAATCTACTTAGTGACTTAGTTGTGGAAGTCATTTTGTTGCCTCCCACGACATTGGTTTGAATTGGTGATTGAAGTTATTGATCAGTACAGTAACAGAATTTGGGAAAGTGGTGTTTCAAGTTGACGGGGTCTTTTAAACTGGTGAGAAACGCCGCAGTGAGTGGGGGCTTGCTAAACTACCCGACAAAACCCACCGTTTAATTTGACGCCATGCAAAGCGCCTTCGAAGCTTGGGAACAGTCTGGACTTTGGCGTAGCCGTTGACGATTGCCCACAGTAACCTTTTCATTGATAGATCGAATTAAAATTACCGAATATTCACATCGTGCACTTACGCGAGAGAGGGCATAGTTCATGTGGTTACTAGTTCTAAGATGCCAGTTCCCGAATACAAGCGACGCTGAGAAAAAATAATCACATGGTTATCTATGAGCGCCTGATAGGTTGGAATTACATCCCTCAATAAAGTACACGTCCATCAAATTGCAATAGAGATTAGTTCGCTAGGTTTAAAATAGGGCCACAAAGTGTGTAAGAAGACAGGCGCAGCTGGATGGATTTGAGGATGCAATATAAAGGCTTTGTTTTGTGTCTGCGGAAAGACAATGACATTAGAGCAGATTATCGCCTCACAGGTAGTTCGATACGCAACTGTGAAAATCCTCCCCAATTCACCCCATTGTTGTATACCATGTCGAGGGAACCAAAGTAAAATTACGATCCTTTTAGCACCTACGACGTTTGAGCCTTTCAGAAAGTCAGTGGAATTGGGTGCTACCTTACAAACAAGACTCGTGTTCCAACAAAACTTACGGGCGGTGACTAACAAATTTAATAATCAAGTAATAACTAGTAAATCTAAGATGGGAAAACCACGCATTTTAATTGCTACAGCTTCATTTACTCTGTTTATTAATATAATTCAAACTGTAAAAAAACTAGCTCCTCGATGAAACAACAGACAATTGGAAAGGAATCGCCCAATTAAATTGTAGAATTAAACAAAGAGGTAGGGGGAACCTAATAAACAACAAAATTGGTTTTTGCCTAGTAATCACGAAGAATAAACAATAGAGGATGATTTTGGCCATAGATGTGAAAGATGTAGCAACGAACAAGACCCTTGACAGTGGCGCTACGAACCTCACATTGTCTTATGGGTGGATCGCCTGATTTGAAGCTAAAAAGCCCGTCGAAATAATATGACGGAGAGACTTAACAGAAGTTGGACGCACTCATCTACTTGGTACCACTTTCAATGCACACAAGTTACAGATCTACTACAAAATCAAGCAGGTTAGGGAAAGGAGTAAAAAGTTACGATAAAACTCAAAGCATTTTTATTCTCAAATGAAAAATCAAAAAGTATTTCCTTTAATTAAGGCAACCACATCTACTGCGAGTGGAAGAAAGCGAAGTTCTGATTGGATTGAAGTGTTTGACTAGATATTCGGATTGAGTTGACTAGACAGAAGCAAGTTGTGTTGTCGCATGAGGTCGTGATCACTCAAGTGATGACAGTGGGTTTAGTGCGGTGGGTGATGTACTGGATTCCGCAGAGTCCCAGGGCCAATTCGATGTGGGGAGCCATGTAGGCCTAAAACAAACCACAATTGATACAAGGGGTAAACACACAAAAAAAATTATACCAACACCGCACCGAGTCGAAATGCTTCCTTTGACAGAATCACCAGACACACCTGGACATAGCCTGTGGCATGAGTCTGTGGTTATAAAAATGGACATTAAACGTGAAAGTATGGAAAATTAATGGGATTGCTGTAAATTTTTAGGGTAAAAATAAGAAAAAACCAGCTATCATCAATTAAAAACTAGTTATATCAGTTGAACTACTGAATGCTAGCAAGATGGACGGGAGTGGTGGAAATGTCGCTGCCTCGGTGCTTCCCGAGAAGGCCAAGGACACCTCAAAGGCGACCTCTCACTCTCAGGTAAGCAATTCGCGTTGTCCTACGAAGATGGCGATGGCCACAATTTGGACACCTTGTGGCTTGGCAGACACTGTGATTTCGACTGAACAGCTGAAATCTTCCAAGCCCTCAGAGAGATGTGCGTCAAAATGTCCGCATCCAGAACACATGCCTTAACAAGCTGACAGTGCCACCTCGATTTTGAAGCAATTTCAGCCAGGTCCAAGGGGCGTTGCACCCACACTTCTCAATGCAACCAACATACCACTTTCTAAGGTGGAAGCTCTGGAACTAACCTGTAACGAGCTATTGCAACTGCTTTCTTGACTGGACCCTAAACTTGTTCGCAAGTCAAGACAGTGACAGCACCATAATATGCAGTAAAATCACGAAAATTGAAAGCTGTGCTCCAGATGAGGCATCATGGAAACCTACACTACACTTTGAGACAATTTCGCTGTAGATTTGAGTATTTGTAATTTCTGAAGCCACGAAATCAGAACTGACCAAGGGCAGAATTTAACGCCGCTTGCTCGCGAAGCGAGCTAAAGACCCCGGTACTACGACTTTGTTGAGCAATTGAGTTGGTAGGCGACTACGTACCCCACTAAAAACGCCAGGTTGATAGAGATGCATGTCACGTAATTGGGCACACAAAAGCAAGATGGAAAATAATGCAGCATTTCTTCTTGGGAGCAGCTATTGCTTTATGTGCTGGAGTGCCTTCCAGCATTTCTCTGTAGCTCCGAAGAAACTCACTACTTACGTAGTGTCCGGAAAATTGAAGCAAATATTTGGCTAACATATTGCAGTGTCAAGTAACCAGGGGTCCTGTTGAAGAGTCTACGCCGGTTATTAGCGGAACGAGAAGTTCAGTCGAATACATGGAGTTGGCTGTGGTCAATTAATTGCATCAATATCGGCATCGGGCTTGTGTTTAAGAAGCAAGGAGTATTCCAGTTAATTAGAAACAGGAAGTATTCGCAACACAAACGATGGCACAAACTTAAAGAGGAGCCACTCGTAGTGCAAAGGAAACAAGCTATTGAGCACTTTACCTAACGCCGTGGACAGCTTTGCACAAGCGTGTTTTCAGCTAAATATTACCAGGTTGTGTAGGCAAGAGTGGAACGCTGGTGAAAACCCATCAGATCGAATTACAAAATTGGCAACTACTTCCCATGTAGTGCATAACAGCAATCGAACGTTTACACCGCTTTAATCATCAGCGCTCTTGCGTGAACTGTCCGCAAGAATTTTGGCGGATGATGGACAATTCACATTCTGCCTAACGCCTCACGCGCATACTTTTATTCACTTTTTTTACTCTTTCGACTATCAGTCATGTGAAACATTGGAAAATGACACAAAAATGGACGGCTCGTGTTGCCGAATAACCAGTCGCACCAACTACAACGAGAGGCAATGACCAGCAGGATCGCCAAGCACCCGAAAGCAACCGCATACTTGTAATTCCACTATTAAAAGATACCCCCTCCTACAGCATTAAGCGGAACACAATCCCACTTATGAGTAGTTGAAATGGGAAACTACCCGAGCTCTGAGTTTCTGTGATAGTCGAGGTAAAGAAGAAAGGGAAACCCCGGGCTAAATCGAAGTGGTACAATCCATGAAATACAAAGTTAGCGAATGCGACTTACTGTGGCCGCGAGGGCGTGAGTTTTGGGGTCAGCAGAGAAAGTGTTCACGTAGATGCGGATGGTGGCCCCGGAGCTTCCCGTTCCGCTTATGCGATAGACGAATCGAGTGTCGTTGCTCAGCATTATACGAATGCCCTAAAAGGCGGGGGAATAAAAATGGAAAATGGCCTGGGATTGGAAAAAGAGCCGAATAGCCCGAGATATGTTTTTACTGAGACAAGTGAAAACACCGATTTAATAAACTTTGAGCTTATTAATTTGTACTCAAAGAATGTGGTGTGGAGCAAGGCTTCCGATCGCCTCCAATCGAAGCAAGGTCACCAGCAGTTCTAATTGCACCAGATATTATAACACACAAGAGGGGGTTATCCCCTGAGGACCAAATCAGGGTCAGTGAGATTCCCCCAAAAGGCTCATTGTAATTATAAATTAAAATACTCCAACACAATAGTAAAACGAGCTGATTCATATACCCTGGTAATACTAGACAGTCAGTTCAAAAGAGCCAGCGGTTTCTCTCCTGTTAACGTCTCTGCTTGTAGATATTCTTGGCGGTCGAATTATAATATTTAACTGTGGTGCATCGTTAACTTAAAAATAGTGAGGAATTTACTGAAACCTGTCATGCTAATAGAGGTAGTCTTCTTTAAAAATTTCATAGTTCACGAAAACCCGTTAATTTGTGCATATATTTGGATGCTTAAAACGAAGACAGTGCGATAATGATAGGAGGTTGTCGCAAAACACACATACAAGTGTTTCCCACATGTTAGTACACCCTGGAAAGTGAGCGTTTGAGAATAAGAAGGGTCTCTAAAAGCGTCAGGAAAGAAAGAAATCATTGCTTAGCTCGATTGGCATCAGCCAGTACCCAGAAACGCTTTGATGTTATCCCAAGTAAACTGAAACCGTGGGTGGAATTTTATGCGCATCATTAGGGTAAGTTGAAAATATGTGAAGACGCATAAGCCCATAATGCATAAACTTAAGCTTATTACCAATAACTGATCGGGAGCTGATGGAGTTAGCCTGACACACACACACACCATGACTACTGACTTCGCAAAAATGGGGACAGAAAACGCGAAGGAGAACTCTGTACCTGATTTTTGGAGACCGATTGATCCACGGGGTCGGTGTAGGAGAAGTTGTCAATGCTGAGAACCTTGAAGGCCGCACCTGAGTTGGTCTTGTAGGTGCGACCTACGAAGCCCGGATCCTTCAAAAGAGCCTCCACACGTTCCATCACCTGCTTGCCCTGTTCCTCTGTGCAATCCTCATAGTCATACCTAAGTGAAATCGAGCGGGGATAACACCAATTAGAAAAAAGAAATTGGGTGCCTTTTCACCCTCGAGTAATATTTGTAAATACGTTACCTTTGCCGAAACTTAAAGACAAGGGTTTCAACATCATAAAGTGCGAGGTTTTATCCATTTTGTGTGCCATGGTGGTCACACCAAAAATACGCTCAAGCGGCACATTAAGATAAACCATGGATGTCGTGATTAAATACATAAACAGAGGACACCGTTGCGTAAATAAAAACAGAGACACGATGATTGAAAGAGGAAGCTGCAGGCAGACGGGCGTATGAACGACGTGCACTGAATGACATGGCACATAGCGTCGAACCACTTGGCGGTCAGCAAAGCAAAGGGTGTAGTCCAACTGTTCAAGCCAAAAAAACTAGTGATTAGTTGCATCGCAGTTGGTTGGGCTAAAATGAAGGCTCAAAAACTACAAGAAGAGTGCAACGACCCACACAAGACACGCGACTGACCGTGTGAAGAAGTCGCGCCCGTATTTGCTCCAGTGCTCTTTCATGACGTCAGAGACCCTGGGCGAGAGTCCGGCGGCCTGACGCGCGGCCAGCAGCGAGGCCCAACACAGGAAAGTCCAAATTCCGTCCTTCTCGCGTATGTGGTTCGACCCCGTGCCAAAACTTTCCTCACCACACACCGACACCTTGTCAGCATCAAGAAGATTCCCGAAGAATTTCCAACCCGTCGGTGTCTCGTAGACGTCGATTTTCTTATCCTTGCACACCCTGAAAAACACAAAGAGGGTAATTAGAACAATGTGTTGGAAAAACGTTCCAAGATTACCTAACTACGTACACAGGGCCGGGAAATCTCGCCTGCAACCTGGTAACCAGACAAGGTGAAAAAGTAACGAGTAGAATATTCGTCACGATGAACTCCTTATTGAATAACAAGGCGATTCGGCGAATCGAGTAAGAAATATCAAGGTGGGGAAGGATAGATGGTTTCGATGATTGAACAACGACTAGTGCCAAAATGAGTAGACCCAAGGAGGGGAAATAATAAGCCACCAAGCACCCTTGTGCACACATAAGAGAAACATTGCTGATGGCAAACCCGACTACACTTAAATTAGCGAACGAAAACTCAGTCCTTCTTCACGTTAGGTCATAAATCCAAAAAACATGAAGTTCAACACGAGAAAGCCTAACAGCGACAAAAATCAACGAGGAACCCAGACTGCTGAAGAACAAGTATGTCGGTGCGGAAATGCATAACCCTTTACGAGCAAGCACCAGGAAGAATTGGTTGAAGAACCGGCCTAAGACGGAGAAAACCCAGAAAACTATCACCTGGAATCTGTTTATTGTGCTAAAGCAATGTTTCCACAGAGCCAATAGGTGATCGAAATCAATTTTAAGCCTGCTTGCGTGAATGGTGAATACACTATCGAATAGGTAGAAGCCAGAATGGATGTCGATTGAAAAGGTGTGGACAAAAAGACGCACCTATCGACAGCAGGAGAGGTTGGCATACTGCGGGCGAAACCCCGCACACCGTTCTTTTCAAAGTACTTTATTGACTCGGCGTTGTCGGCGATGACAGCGAGGGAGTCACAGGGGCAGACGAAGAAGCCGCCCTGGCCGATAATCATGTTGCGGTCCCCGTCGCCATCGAAGGCCGCCGCCAGACTGATGGACTTGTCGGCGCGAACCGCATCAACCAGCTTGGCGGCGTAGGTCAAATTCGGGTCCGGGTGGTGCCCGCCAAAGTCGGGCAGCGGTGTGCAGTCGAGAGTGGAGGACTCAGGAAGACCAAAGTTATCAATTAGGAGAGCCCTTATGTAGGGACCAGTGACTGGAAAATAAGACAGAGGTCAATTAATACCCGAAAGCTCTTTGAGAAAATTTGCTAGACCGAAGCATTCGCAAACCGAAAGGGCTTCACTGGCGAAAAAATAAAGGTGGTCAGATTGCATTAGGCTGATGAAGGATTAAACAATTTAATAAACACGAAATTGGAGTTAGTGTATTCAATTTGTTCGCGAAAACAGGAATGCCACGAGCAGGTGCTTACACTTCGATGGTGTGAGCATTCGAACAGATAGCGGGATCCTTTTTTAGTTTCCTCTAACAAGCCTCAAATTCCTATCACGACAAATGCGATTATTTGATGGTAAAAATCAAATACGACAATCACAAGTCAATGTACTCAAGTTGCAGTCTTCAGGAAGTTCTAATTTTGCACACAGTCAGTGGACATGATCTAGCCACATCGGGTCCCGTGTACTTCAATTTTTATGCAGAATGAAGACAACAAACCTAAAGTGCGGCAGTCATTTATGAAATGCCGTTGTTGCTTCAGGCAAGCTGGGATGTGGAACTAATTGGTCGCATAGGCAACAAGAAATCCACTGGTAACTGCTACTACACGGGCGTCCACCGTTTTCACTCTCGGTAAATGGGAAAGAGCAAAGCGGGGGGGGGCGGTTCACAGATTATTTGTTCTCTTTAGGAAACAAGTAGACATGGAAGATAAATTTATAAAAGACGATGGAAAAGAATCGGGATTAGCTCGTAACAAGGATCTCGATCCTACGTCTTTTAATCATCACCTCGGAATGATTCAAAGTAAACTAAGTGAAATTGAATGAAAAATTCACCTCCGCTAAGCCCATCGACCAAGACCTTGAATGGTGGCTTTCCGTTGCCTCCATTGAGGAATTCCTTGATCATGTCAAAGTCGAAAATCTCCTTCATGTAAGTGATGTAGTCTTGCGTGGACGAGACGATGGTTACCTTGAAAATCTTGCCACCCTTCAGATTATAGTCTGTGGTGCCAATCTTGGTCAAGTCGATAGGAATTGGACGGTCCAGAGTTTGGTACTCGTGGATTTTCGTTGTAATCTGGTAGATCTCGTCTGTGATGGTCTCCGTAGCTGGCCCACCATTGTCGATGTTGTATTTTAGGCCAAAGTCCCCATCTATCCCCCCGGGGTTGTGGCTAGCGGTCAAAATGAAGCCCCCGGTAGTGCCGTAGCGTCGAATGATTGTAGAAATGGCTGGTGTCGACAGGATACCGTTTTCACCAATCATCACTTCTTCTACCTAACAAAGGAAAATCGAACGAGAATAGATACACTACTCTTATCCTAAAAACTTGACGCCATAAATACTTCGGAAGATAATTTACCCTGACGCCATGCACATGGGTGCTCCGAATTAGCGACTCGCCAATAAAACCAACCCAATCAGGCTAAAAATTGTGTCGCCTTATCTAATAACTGTTAGTCAAACATGAGGTTTCGAAAACCCCCTGAATTCAAAAGTTCATGAGGTGAAAAGTGCCAAGTACAAAGTAGTTATTGATATTTTTTGCCTGTAAATGATAGTTTCGGTTAACAAATCCGAATGCCGAGGAATGAACAAAGGGACATTTTTGTGCTTTCCATTTGCATGCATTTACAAAAATTGAGGGCTAACATAAGGTAGTGAATAAAAGATTTTAACCTATGGACGTCCTAGTTCGGCTAGCCACCGAACAACCCGCAACACTTGAGATGCAAAAAAGTACCAAAGCACTTCGTATCATGCTTCCTAGGCAAGCTTGGTGTTTGGATAAATTCACGCTTCCTGGTTGACATGTACACATAACTACGGCGAGCACGTGCTATAGCAATAAAATGGCGATATGCAGAAATCTAGGTCAACGCTTTGCTTACAAGGCACAACAATTTTAGTTGGTTTCTTAAATCACGGTTATTAAGGACCATTTAATTGTCATTAGACACCCTCTTGTAAGTTGTAACTTGCGACATAATTGTACCGACTTCAACAAAAACTAGTAGAGTAACTTCAATTCAAACATCCGCACAAAACCCCTTGTATGGAGAAGATGAATAGTCACTGCATTATGAAACCCTACATGGCACTTTTACGTACCTGACTAAAGTATGAAGTTGGGTGGAAAAAGGGTAGGATATATACAACATACACCGTTAGCCGCACACAGTGGTACGATGGCATTGAGAAGGGCCTCCTTGAGGAAGTAGCGACCGTCGCCGCCAAGCACCAGCCGGAATTGAGTGTCTGGCTTCTGGTGTTTCTTGGCCACCGTGAGAGAGGCTTGCACGAAGTTTTCAACATAGTTAGGCAGCATGAAGGTCTTGGTGGGCTTGCGCAGCCCAGAAGTGCCGGGCTTTTGGCCTTCAAAGGGTTTTGTTGGGCGCGTTTGAATCAAGAACTCATCAGCCATCTGACTGGAGGGCAACAGATAGAAAAAAAAGTGGTTAAATTCAACAATCATATTCTCAACTGCACCAGTTCTAGTGGTTACGATGAAATGTGCAGTGTCAGAGAAGCATCTTGCACGAGAGTAGAAATTCGAACATGTGGGCAGAGGCCTTAACCAAAAGTGTGTGGAATAGGTTGAAGAAACAGAAGACGATATGGCTAACCAGGGAGTGCACGATCGTTGCAGTGACCTTACAAGAAGTATAACGATTAGGAAGCGTCGCTGCACACCCGGCCGACTGGTTCCATGGCACTTGCAAAATATCAGTGGGGGGGGAGGCAAATCAAAATATTCTGTTTGCTTTGAACGTGATAGAATACACGGTCATGCACTAACCATCACTTTCACCTAACATCTGGCTGGAAGACGAATAAACAAGGCTACCATTACGCAGTGTTAAAAAAGCCAGACAACTGAAGGTGGCGGCTTAAGGCAAAGCAAGAAATTTTCAAAATCCTAACTCTGTAGTTTTAAAAAGGTGACGAATACAAAAGACCACAGATTCAGCTAAACTACAAGATACTAACCAAAGCAATATGTTGAGGTAAAATGAAAGCGAAGTCGCAAACAAGTGAAAAACTGGAGGCCTTCAATTTGAACAAAATCTATTCTGAGAATGAAGTGCAAAAACACATAAACAAGACAATTAAATGTCCTCTTCATCGAAATCCTCCTCTCCACCTTCGACATCGCCAGGGTCCTCCTCATTATCACAGGGGTAAGGCAGGTCGGCACCGATGTTGGCCAAACGATCGGCCTGCTCGTTGCCCCACTTACCCTGGTGACCGGGAGAATGACACTAAAAGGGGAAAAAACAAAGACGTGAAATTCAGTAACTAAGTAAAAACTTACTCGACGTTCATTGCATTAAAAACTTGCCTGAATTTTAAAATTCGTTTCCATTTTATGAAGAATTAGAGCTCTAATTAACACCATTTTGCATTAATAAAAAGAAAATGAATACAAGAATAACAGCATCATTCACGGGTTTTTCGATTAGAATCAACTGGCTTAAGGTAAAGTGTGTCGCGCCAAATGAACACCATTATGAACCTTTAAATCAACCTTTGAATATTTAAAGGAAATCCACAGTGTATCTGTCAATGTCCGTTCAGTGCTGAGTTAAAACTGCACAGCACATTTTGCTTAAATTTAGCCGTTCTTTAATCTGTTTATATTCTACACCAACTCAAGAAAATTGTCGCGTGTCGACGAAAGGAATACTTCAGAATCACTTGAATAAGACCATCCGCAGTGAATTGGGCGCCCTCAACAAATTTCCGAAGAGACCGGAAAATGTAATACTTCCTCCTTGATGTGGATGACACAGACTACGTGTGAGATCCTGAATTGACTACGTGAGCGCAGAGCACCAACGCGGCGCTTGCAGTGGCTGAAGGGTGAGGAGGGGATTGGAGTTGGTGGTGCGATTTGAGAGGTGAGGGGCATCGGGAAATGGCGCCATTGAGGCATTTTTCGTTCGAATGACGTAGGACTCAAATATTTGGTTGTGAAACAAGTGCCAGGAAGCGGTTGCATCGTCCACTCGATTAGGGCTTGTGGTATTGTTTGATGATGTGACGACTTGTGCTGACCCACAGAAAGAAGGTGAAACTATTACCAAAAAATAAAGCGACATCGAACAATGCGAGGTGTTAACAGATTGACGTACACACCCAAGAGACATGGAGCCCAGGAACGGCGAGCTGTTCCACTAGTCGTTGAATGTCTTTTCTGTGGAGCACAGGTGTACCGTTGGCCAGCTTCCAATCGTTCTTTTGCCACCTAAAGTACCACACGGTCGCGCATTTGATCGTGAACTTGCTGTCCGTGACTATCTTCACGCCTCGTATTCCAGCATCGTTAGCCTGCTTCAGAGCCCTGATGCAAGCCTACAAGGAATGCGTTTACCGGTATCATGCTTTAAACAAAATTATTCAGCCACGTCCACTTGCAATAAATACTCACAAAAAAGAACATGGGTACAAATTCTTAAAGCCCTTTGTTTAACTAGCTAATCCGATCAATTTCCATTTTGAATTTAGCCATTACGAGATGCCATTTCTTCCTCCAGACCTGGATAAGAGAATGAACTAGCGAAATGCCGATTGGCTAGTCTCAACAGCAAACACAGGGGGCTATCAAACAGGTAAGTGCAGTCGTGCAACCGATGGACACAAGAGATGCCCAAATAGCCAACACTAATTACAATCGTGTCGAAGAGCATCTGGCTTCAATATGCTGGATAAGAAATCCAAATACGGGATTTAAACAGGTCACTTATTAGTTTCAGGGAATATTGACATCAACGTCGATATCGGATTCGGAATATATTGGTAGAGAAAAAATTGCACCACCTAATATTTCTTTACACAATATATAATAGAAATATCCATAAATTAACCCTCATAAACCGAGTTACCTAAAGGTGGTCGAGTGGTGTGAAAACGAAACAATTGATTAACATGTATCAAAATATGACCTTACCAAAAAACCATGAAACCGCTTCACGCTACTCCTAAAAAATGCTGTAATTGCATAAATTACATAACGCACACTCGAAGTTCCCGGTAGTCGAAGTAACTACCATGAAACTACGTGACCAGCTGCCGACCAATCGCCGGAACCGGACATATCATCTAAATGTTCATTGGTTGATGCCATCACGCAAAGATCGCAGCAATTGACCAAACAGAAACAAAACCTAGACCAATCACCTCGATCTCAGCTCGGTTGTTGGTCTGACGACCTTTTAGTCTCTCAGACACGTTCCAAGGATGATCAGTCCCCCAAAACACACCGAAACCAGCTCTTCTATTTTCTAGTGGACCTTTGCATGAACCATCGGTGTACACAAGGACTTTGCTAGCCTCATTAAGATCTAAACAAATAAAAAAAAACAACTACAGGGAAAACAACACCAAGGAAACTAACTACAATCAGAGCATATCAAATAGGAATGCCAACACTAATAAAATCCAAAATTATGCATCAAGGAAAGTACCTGCTTATGAGATCTTGACGAACCGCAGCACGGGTTCTAATTACAAGCTAGTGAACAAATTTTAAATATGAAAAAAGATACATGAAGAGTTTGACAAAACCAACTAATTTAACTGAACTGCTGCTGATGCATAAGCAGAGGTCATACCATGCATAAATGGCACTGGAAGTAAGTTGTCAACTGCGGAGGAATCCACGGGCCTAATGTCTTTGGTCATCTAAAAATTTAATAGGAGTCAATTTCCTGCTAACCTTTGTTGGCGGTTCGGAACTGAAAATACTTTCAGTGTCCTGACCGTTTGGTAGGAGAGGTCGCTTAGGCCGAAAATTATCGGTGCCTAATCAGGTAGCAATAAAGAGACCAAAAAGGTTAGCAAACCATTGCTTATGAAATCTTCAGCTTCACACATGGTGGCGAATTTTTTGAAAACAGCCCCTGCAAAGCCGCTGACCTGTTTTTCACATTCCGCCCTAAAAATGAATTGTTTTGTGCAAATTACTCAATCACGGATAGTAAACGAGTCAAATGAAATAAAGGGCTTGGGCGTAGCAGTTCCACCAAAACCAGCTCCCATGCATACTTCCAGAATACAGTGGAACCTCGTGTTTACCTACAACAGTTGACAATGGACTACAAAATAGCGCGCTACTCTCAGAAGGAGACATCTGGAGTTTGTTCACGCAGACAAGCTAAATTGTCACAAATTTCCCCAATCGACTACTTTTCTAACGAAGTTGACGATGCCCTATACTAAATGCCACTTGGAATTTTCAACCAATCTCGAGAACTGAAATTTCCTTATAATTTTCCTCCATCTTATGATTGGTGCTGACAGCCTACAGTTAATTTCGAATCCAGAATAGGTGCACAGTTTGAATTAAAAAAGTTAAACACTCCTTAAGAAGTCCTCAAAAAGCAAACGCTATGAATTACGAAAAATGTTAATAAATACATATTCGTAATGTAACGTATTTCCAGTCTGCTTCAGAAAAAGCGCCATAACTTTACAGTTCATAAATCAGAGTACGTGCTAATTAAAGTGCACTGAAATAATTCATACAATATTCCGAATAAATAATAATCAAACCTGCCTCCCGACATACTCCAACCTTCCGCATAACCTGTAATTCTTGGTCATTTGGTCGAAGCATAACAGAGGCAACATTAGTATGCAGCGTAACAACAAAGAACGATAGACTTTCAAAAAGGAATTAACGGATTACGAATTTTTAGCAATACAATAAACGATAAATGCTTCTGGCCCATGCTGTGAAAAATTAATAAATTGACCAATGCGCTAATCTTAGAAACCCCAATTAAGGTGATACAGGATATTGCCAACGAGATCCGGAGACTGAGGAATGTTTAGCAAAACAGGAACTTAGAGATTTACCACGATTTGAAAATCCCAGACGACCGCCCAACTTTGACAGCGTAGAACGGCATCCGCAGCGCCAGCTTCAACACCTTCTGCGTATTTTGATTGGTTAATTTATTCGCTGTGCAAAATTTTAAAATATTTTGAATCCTGCTGAGGTCTGCATGCCTCATACAATTGAAGGTAAAATCGACTTTTGTCCATTTACAAGAGTTTTGCTTTTTGCCCCTCGCCAAAGTCTAAAAGGAATATACTCTATTTGAGACACTTTGAATTGAGCTTATTTGACAAGGCAATTTGTGGTATGTGATAAATTATTGTGTGTAAAGTCAAAATTGAGACCTTTTTAGACTTCTACAAGTCTTTGCTTCCTCACGGTAAGTTTTCCTAAGGTACTATATAATGGTAACGGTAAACTTAAAGTATTTGCAGGATCCGTTAATATTGAGAATATCACGTTGGCAACAGCTTTCGAGTAACTTTCTAAAAAATTCATTTAACCTCACTTGGACAATTAACAACATGCATTTTTGAGCCCACACCCCCAATAATCAATTATAACTGCTTAATTGATGTTCTCGATTCGAATTGGGTGCAATTCGTCTAAATGAAAAAGATTTTGCGTTTGGGACCATGCCCAACTCGAAAATTAGGCCTTTATTATAGATAATCATGCCCATATGTCATGAAATTTCACTTAAGTTCAAACAAATTTTTAAAATTTAATTCAGTGCAAATGAAGTCAAACTCCCGTTTATAAATACATTCATCCTAGTTATTTCAAATATTTCCTTTAGTAATTGGAGAAATTCTTAATATTTGTAGAAAAATGATTACGAATGCAGGCCAAATATATAGCAATATAGTTAGAATAATTGGCACACAAACGCTTTTAATTTAATTTTAGAATTTGTGTATAGTGTCAATACAACGTCGCGTAATTTCTGGCCTAGTGTATATCCACTCTCATTTCTCTCTGAAATTCCCTGCTTTTGAATAATTTTTATACATATCTGCGCACATACAGTGCACAGTATATTGTTTGCATGGAAGCATATCGCACGCGGCCTGTTTTACTATAAATTTCACTTTTATTCTCCATTGTTCGATTCATTGCTCCGTTCACTCATGCATCCTCGCTCTAAAATTTGTCAAGTATCCAGTAATGCAATTTCTGTGGTAAGACGAAAATTTAATTATGGTGGTGCAGGTTGAAGCGTACATAGACTATATTATTGAAAAACATCGAGTAAGAATGGAGACTGAATTCCTGCCCCACTAGTCAGAAACGAAAGTAATGACCGTTAACCATTTCGAACCACCTCTTTAAGAACAGTTTTTGTTGTAAGCACTATTAATCTATGCATACACTTAATTGCTTTTTCTCCATGACTATCCAAGAACCCAATAATATTAATAATTATAAATCAAAACTAAAAAGGACAAATTGAGTCCATAATTGCGTGCGCAAGGACGAAAACCTTTAACAGCCAAATATCTAGCATATGTCATGACATAACGCTGCATAAGTAGTTCCATATAAGGGGCATTAAGTATCGTATCAATACAGACATTTTTCGCAATTCCCTATTTTAACAGCGGATCTTGCAGTTCACATGTTCATTGCGATTATATCAAAATTTGTGTTACACATTTTTACTTTAAAAATGGTCAGAACTTATACGACATAAGAAGTGATTTGACATCCGCTGGTGTAATCAAGTAAGTTTTTAAATTTATTTAAATGAGTGAATATTCCCGCGTCAAAGCAGTGGGATTTCAAAAATGGCGGATGATCAACATTGTACGCCTCTCGTTTGTTCTAACCTTCCTGCATTTAGATGATATGGATGAATATGGGATGTCGTATAGGAAAAATGTAAGTGTATTTTTAGCCTGTAAACTTGTTAGCCACCGAGAATTCGTAAAAAAAGTAGATATTACGAGGAATATTATGAAGCTACACCACAGTACAAGGCCCGCGAGTCCCCGCGTTTTTTTTCGCCAATCAGGCCTCTCCAACCAGATGATTCACACAGAATGCGTAGGAACGCTAAACAGGTTTGCCTTTTTATTGTTTTTATTGCGAAAAAGCATAAAGCATTGCCAAGTTCAGTGGGTTGGCGCAACGCGTACGCAAACCCCGAAAGGCGCACTGCTCAGGTCAACGCCGTTCGACTCAGAAACGTTTTAAAGCTTCCAAAAGCCCATAAATGGGTGTTCTATGAGTGGCTCTACTCTAATTTGGACAGGTATTTTGAAATCCATCTTGTGTGTAATCCACTTAGACCCTTGCTTCTGAGTGAAAATGATTTTCGAATTTGCCTTCGTGAGAACTTTCCAAACGTCAAAACTCGCCGCTTAACAAGAGCGCATTGGTCCCTACTTCGTCGATTGATGGGAAAGCCCCGGCGCTGTTCTGCTGCGTTTTTTGATGAAGAACGCCGTTCACTTAACGAAAAACGGGAAAAGATTCGCACTTTACAGGCTACACGGTCAGTACAACTGGAATTTTTGCGCGATCTTCCTGACGATATGCATGTACCTATGCCACTTATTATTGGAACTAGAATTAATGCTCGGTAAGTATATCCCCGTATTTGGTTTTGTAAACGCAATAATGCTCATTTACGCTGTCTTTAGGGTCCGTTATCCGACAGACGGGCTCTATCCCGGTAAAGTGGATGCTATAGACTCATTGCGTCACTGTTACCGTGTAACGTTTGATAAAGCCAATTTGGGCACTCGCTCCATTCCAGATTATGAAGTTATTAGCATTGAACCTCAAGAAACGATCCCTCTGTCTGCCTATAAAACGCAACACAAAGCCAGTCGGAATTTGTTTATGAGTCCAGCTAGATTATTGGCCCAGTCTGCTCTGCAGGTACGCTTTCCAGCCATTAGTGGCACATCTTTTTTACCTGTAAACTTTGCTATTTATTTTTTCTAGGGGAAAAGACACATGCATCACCACAAAATAGCACACGCTGTAGGTGGGGCCACCAGTGACTTTGGTATTCACGACTGCCCTTTATGTCAGTCTGGTGATGGCTCATCGTCTACCGGCATGTCAGCGTCAGTAAAGGCTCCGTCCATGGGTGAAATGACCTCTGGGATCGGTGGGGCGGCGCTTTCACTTAATGATCCGTCAAGCAGCGGTGGACGGTTGTTATTAAATGAATCAGATATATATGGAGGTTATCCAATGAAGTTTCTCGTGATGGTGGTATGTTTTTTTTTAATTTGTCTTTTTGGAGATGATTTTACATGGCTTTTCGTTACCTATGGAGTTTTGCAGTGCCCTGCTTAAACGCGTACTTTTGTTTTGTAGACAAAGCTGTCAAAAATTTTGGAAGTAAAAAAAATGTGTGTAGACGAGTTGCAAGATTTAAATACGGATGCTGAGCGCAAGATTTCAAATCAGTCTGAAATATCACTCGGTTTCCAACACAAGTACCTAACCCTAATCGTACACTTGGAGCGTTTGAACAAAGAACTCAACCAGTACCTTATTCACGTTCTCCAATACGCCAACGAGGTGGGTTGATATGTTTAAGCTAATCTATATTTTTTTGTAATGAATTGTGAATAAATTGTTTGTTGAATTTTTACTTACCTATACGGTGTCTGCTTAAAACGGGAAATTCCTTGAAAATTTCCTAAACGTTCGCCGTTTTATGGTGTTATCCATTTGAGGTATCCTCCTTTCTTCTGTAGCCGGTGACTTTGTTGGGTGCAATAAAACGGCTTATTCTTGCACATGTTTGCGTTGTCTTGCATCAAGAAAACTTCCTATAGAAATTTGCAGCGTTTTATCTGAAGTCACTGTAATTGGTGGACACGATAATAGCTTCATTGTGCAGCAGTGAATGAGCATAAATGGTCATTCTGTGATGTTACTCGTGCTAACTACTGACACCTGCCAATCGTCTTTTCTGCCAAACGACGTTTTCTTTGTGCTCTTGTGTCGGTTTTACCCAAAGGAGTCATTTTTAAATGACGAAGACCTCGTGTCGTCAGCTTGGTTCATGAGGAATCCCAACTCCCAAGTCGTGTACTTCCTCTCGTATCTGCAGAGAATAACCAATGAGTGATTTGAAAGGGGCTGACATTTTTACTGCCCGCCTTGTTCTTTGATGTGTTTTTCTTCAGTCGAAACGTTTGAAATGACATTATCGAAGTACGAGTAGATGTTTGGCGCTGGGCCATTCTTGGCACAAAATTTTGCGGACAGTTTTCAAATTTCTAACATCACTGTAGTTTCCGTCATCACAAACTGCATTTCACCACTTCGTAATCGCTATGGCAATTCTCTCACAACTGATGGTGGTGCGTATTCCCATTTCGGTTCCTTTTTTCCGAGAACATTTGAATTACACACTTGACCCTTTAACTGGGAAATTGAGATTAAGGATGTTTCCAGCCGTCTATAAGAAGGCGGCTAATTCCTGCAGTACAATTTTCTGTTAATATTCATCACAAATTTAGGCTGCTCAATGCTGCGGCCTCTAATGCATAATTAAATGTAAGAAAGATTCAAATTCATGACAACCGCTTTAACTAGTTCTTTATTCTCGGTTGGCTTTTTTCAAGGTCGGCTTCTTACTGGTTTGCGTGGATATAGCCGCACTTTTTTCTCATAAGGTTTGGCTTCTGATTTTACAGGAAATGTATGCCAGTCAACAGCGTGTATGGTTTAGGTACATTAATGTTTGTTTACATGAAGTAATGGTAAAATGACTACTGTGGTAAGCTCCCTTACTTCACAAAACAGTCAATTTTTATTTACCTTTCGAGGGGAGGTAGCCCATGTACAACAGTTTATTCTGTGTGGTCAAGGAAATTTGACTCTTAAGTGTGCTGTGTCGCATTTTGCTATATTGTTTTTACGTAAAGGAAATTTTTGGTTATAAGTCTGCCAAATACCTGAATAGTTTATAAGCGTTGTTTTATAAAGCATATGTATCAAATTGGCCCGTCGATTTGTGCATTTAACAGTCTTTGTCGCCCTCATTGTCTTTGGTAGATTGCCCAAGAGCATGGCGTGCCGCCTTTAGAGCAGCCAGCGGACTTTAAACAGCGTTGTGACGAAGACGCTTATGACATTGTAAATCGAGTGAAAAGTATACAAGTGCAACGTCTGCGCAATATGAAAAACATGGATCTTATCACCAAACTGACTGGCATCCTTGTGCAAGTTCGCTCTCTTAGCGAACAAGAGACCTCCACACCGGACTGCTCCAGCGTGCTCGACTCCTTGCGTGATTTAAAAGCCACGCTTCACTCAAGCAACGTCCAGTAAGTATTGCGCAGTTTTCTTGCCGTTCACAAAAGTTGATGTTTAAAGCGCCCTCCTTAAGTCCATTTGCGGCATTTCAGGAATTATTGGTGACGTGTCTGTTTGCGTTAATTAGCACTACCGATCCTCAATTAAATTTATCTCCATAGCCCATCCACCGTTTGATCTATCCTCGACAATTTATTTATCTGGTAAACGATTTATTTCAATCATGTTCACAAAAGCCGCTGTGCATTTCCTGTAATCTAAACGCATGATTTTCGTTTCGTTGCCGATATTTCCAAAGGCAGTGTTTCTTCCGTTTTGTGCTGTACAACACTTCAACGCTCGCGCTATTGCCACGTACTCTATAGGTTTGTGTAATGCCTGGTTTTCTTCCACCGATGTAAGGGCTTTCGGTGTCAATCGATGTTAAAAAAGTCTTGTTTCTGCCGTCCGCAGTTAAGAACCGTCGCATTGGCCGGGCACGTAGGGCGGAGTTTAAATGCAAGAGGGACTTGAAATCCAGGTCGATAAATCCCAGTTATGCCCAATATCGTGGTCCGAGAACAAAGTGTTGGAATTGTAATGGTCGATCTGTCAAAGATTACCAGCCCTTTACTTCTTATATCGTTAATTTTCCGTGGGTCACTCTTGTAGACTATTTCCTGTGAACCCGATTGCCGTTGTTTTTGACGGTTTCGTTTTACTTAAGTCTACACCACAGATTGCCCTTTGCAATTGAGTTTTATTTTATTGATTTAATGATAGGAAACTACGTGCAGCTTCGTTGCATCACCAGATCACTGACTTATCCCTTCTCCCAGTTCATGAGAAACTTCAACTAATTCCTTCTTTTTTTGGTTTATTGTAGTACGTTTGAGGACATCCTGGAAGTGAAGGTCCACCACGTGATGAGCGGTCTAAACACCCAGGGGAACCTACACTCCTTCCTGTATATGCACCCCAATCATATGCAATACGTTTGATTACTGATGCTACTGTAGCTATTTCTCGCCGTTAAGCATTGTGCCTCTTTTCAAACATCAACTAATACACAATGTACAGTGTCATTTCACGTTCATTCAAACGGTCGCGTTTTTCCATTTTTACGTTGATTCGCTGTTTCAGGTATTCTGAATGTTTTAACAAGAAAATTCCCCCTGAAGCCAATTTTTATAGGTCTCTCCGTGGTTTCACTTTTACTGGGAGGGCTGAATGAGTATCCAAGGCGCTGTTTCCGGTTGCATATGTCCTCAAGGTTGCCCTCCGTTGTTCCGCATTTCTAGGTGATGTTTGCGGTGGTTCCGGTTCGTTACTTCAGAGATTAGTGAACGCACACTAGCAATTCAGTTCAGTGGTGGATTGCGCGTACCGCGTTATTTCGCTACAGTCAATGTTTTGTCAGGCGTAGATTTACTCTGATTTGGAGTTGTAGACTCGATACCTACTCTGTATATATCTGATCAGGAGTCACTCTGGAGTTGTTTTGAGCATTCGCCGCCTGAGATCACTACTCTTATCTTATTGGTGTTGGGATTAATTCAACCTCGAGTTTGTCATTCAGTTTGGTGTGGTTTAATCGAAAAAGGACTATCCTGTTGTGATTGCCTTGGTGTTTCATCTAGAAGCAAATCATTTATTGGATAGTTTCGTGGAGGTCACTGGATAGCGTCTTAACGTTAAATTAAATGCCGGGCAATTTCTGTTTACTTCATGGTACTAGGAGAGGTTCGTATCAGCTTGATATCCTATTTTGTTACTGAGAATACGTTTGCTCAATCTATCCTAGGGCCATCTGAGGAACTAGTTGCCGCATTAATAATGTACGAATTTGTAGCGAGTAGGGGTAGCAGTAAATGGTAATCAAATGTGGGTGTGCGATTTTAATGCGGCTTGGTGCTGTCACTAATCCTTCATGGAGATTTTCTTCATTCATTTCCCCTTTAACATCCGTTATGTAGTCTATGAGAACAGTTAAGGGTGTCGTAGTAGTAGTAGTATGAACTTTATCCTTCTTAACCAGGAATGCGTTGTGATCGATTCTCTTACATGCAAAGGAATGGAAATGCCGTTTGTCCCCAAGGAATAAAGGCATCAAAATTTATCATGCTACATGAAAATGGGTTTTTGGTTATTATTGCCACCTAATAGGAGTTCTGCACCGAAAATGCTCCTACGAAGAAATTTGGTGTGATTAATTAAAGGATGTGGGTCGTTGAAAGAAATCACGACGTATAGCCGCCAAAAGAGCTGTAGCGTATGGACACTGCAGTGTGCTCTGAGTATTAATGCAGAGATATCGATTTTGCTTTGGCCAGGTGAATTTGAATTTCCTTTAAAGTAAGAGTCTGTTTCTTTATTAACTCGAGACAACATGGGTGGTTCTGGGTCAAAGAACATCGGGAATTTCAAAAGCGTTGCTGTATCAGATGCCACATCTAGCACGCTGGATCTTTCTGATCTCAAAATAAGGACTAGTTCTTGCACGATTGAAGAAACTTCGCCGAAACTTTGTTCAGACTGCTGCACCGAAGCCGTTGATCGACCTCCCTCAGCTAAACCAGAAGATACAGTCGTCTGTGAGTCTGTAGAGCAGGTTTTCGAAAGCGCTGAAGTAGCCGAGTTTATTCAGAATGATGAGCTTGAGGAAGACAACTTGATAGAGGAGGTGACTCCTATCCAACTTGATTCAACCTTGGAGAATGCTTGTCTGAGTTACAAGCAAGCACGTTTCACTGCTTTCGAAATACCTTTTCACACTGGGCCCTGCGCTATCCCGACTGCTGCAGCTCTTCTGGATCAGCCCTTTCCCGAATCGCACGTCCACGAGGATACCGAGACCGAGGTCCCAGTGTGTTCTGGAATGACCGAGGCTTTGCCAACGCCGAATCCACCTAGTGTTAGAACACAAACTACTGCGAGCTCTGGGAGGCGTGCTCTCTATCAGGATGTTTGCATGAAATCCGGACGTCCGTGCCAAAGACAGACACTGTGCAAAAGATATCCCCAAATCTATGGTAAAGCCCGCGAAAAACTCCTGCCTATTATAACCTATGATCCGCCTTTTTCTGAAAAAAGTGATCTGACCCTAACCTACCGTTCGGAAAAGGAGTTTTCACTAAGGACGTTGAACACGGCAAAGGAGCAAAGTGCCAGACCATCACAATGGAAGACAGAACGCTTGACCAACGGCACGTGGCTCCACTATCCAAATAGAGTATACTCTCCCCAGATGGCGCGCCACCGAGCAATGCCTGGAAAACCGTCAACGAGACTCCTAAAACCCATCGACAAGTCTCTGTTTCTGGGGAACCATGTGGCAGCCGATGAAGCCCTCTCCCAACAGGCAAAATTCAGAACCGCGCCCCCGAAGATGTGCTCCATGCTTCCTCCGTTGATTAAATCGGAGGCGAGCACTATAAAGGGGCGAGCGAGGCCGATGTACAAGGGAAAAGGGCGACGTGTAACGGGACCGGGGATCCCTCTTTCCTCACTGTACTCCCGGAGTCGAAGCACTCTTCATTCTCTCCCTCCCCCAGCCTCCTTCTCTTCACCTCGTGCTGAAAAATTGCGTGAAATCGAGGACGGATTTAGTCTTCTCACTTTGAATGAATCCGATAGTGAATAGACAGGGGCCGGAATGTATTTCGCGGGTCGAGGGGCCGCACCGACGCGTGTTCCCCCGGCCAACAATCTGCAGGTGATGTGCATAGCTTGTGCGAATTGCGGTGTGAGTGCATTGGGTCCCGTGACGTTTGATGGAGGGCTCGATCGGAAACCGCGGTGTGCTCTCGGTGCTCAAATGACCATCCCCGGTGCATGGAACCACAGCATCGTCAAAATTGACTCTGTCATGGTGCGTTGCTGTTGCTTGGTGTAATGATGAATTACGCAGTGTTTAAACGATTGCCATTAAAATTTCTAACAAGATGGCGTCTTCATTTACTTATTAAGAGACTAAAATAACATTGGCGCTAGCATCACAGGGATGAAATTGTCGGAACACCAAGGGTAGATGTGACCGAAGCGGTTTGTGTAATTTAAATAAGAACTGCAAAAGTGCTAGCAAAGCCAACTACTTGGAATCTGATAGAAGCCTGATCACATTTTATTCTTTTGAAAAAGGGCCATGAAACTTTTAGCCTCATGCTTTGTCAGCAAGAATGCTTGATGAGCTACACAATTAGCTCGTGGTTTGTGGCGACACAAAGAAATCGGCCTTAATTTTACTGGTGGCAAAATTTATAAAACAGAGCTTCCCTCGTGTTTGCACATTGCGTGGAAATCAAACTGATTGCCGCAGATCATGGCACTGTTTTGGCACTTTTTGTAAGTCCTACGGCTTACATGATCAACCGCAAACATCTAGAAAAACTAGCAAAGTTCGCATCATGGGTGTTTTGATAGCTATTATTTCCATAAACACTTATCGATTAAAAGTAGCAGTGTTCGGGTAAAATTTATACTCAGAAACGCGCAGTGCATCCAGTTCGAATTTGAGACGCGACTGATCCTAAGTTGGTCCTCCAATTTCCCCCACCTTTCGTCTCTATGAGGAACAGATACTGTGTGCTTTGTATAGAATGCAGTTATTTGCTTGTTCTCCCAGAGAATCCAGATAGCACCAACTGAAACCAAAGTGGTTCTATTTCCTAATTTTTTCGTAAACTACAGGCTTTTCTTGTATATTGGGTATAGTCATGCTTTCTATGCAAATTTAACCTTAGCTTCAAAGTATATCAAGTCCCTGCACCATTTAGTATCCCTTCAAAATACTTGTCAGGTTCTGTCCATCAGTGAAGTGCCCAAGGAGGCGAGTGTGCTCTTGTTCCAGCTTCCGAATCGACTCGGCTGGTGTGTTCTAAGCGTTGGTATTCGAGAGTCACCCAGTCTTTGTGTTTAGGACATCTGATTGTCAAGACCCGAGAGTGATTCTATTGTTAATCGAAAGGGAAAACGCCCGAATTGTTCACTTTTGTTTTGAGAACAATTAAACACTAAAGGAGGCAATGCCTTTTGTAGTGACATTATTCCATTTATAAAGATCTCTTTCTTAGAAGCCCCCCGGTGTGAGGTTTTAAGTCTGCTAGTATTACTTGTTACCCCAAGAAATTAAAGCCACGGGTTTGAGAAATTTCGAGGCCACGCTACGGTTGTGCACACTTGACCCTCTACACATTACTAGAGCAGACCAACCACGTGTTCTGCAATGCCTCTTGGATCATCGGTTTTTTCTTCTGGTGGAAGCAAAATAAATCAGGAAGCTTTATTGGTGTGCTGCCTCTGCCAGCGTAAACTATTGTAAATCTGCGGAAAACTCGAACTCAAACGTTACATAAATTATTCCAACGTTGAATTATATCTGGAGAGCATCACAATTATTGTTTTTGAGATTTTCACCAATTGGTTATTCAGTGAATTACTATGCATTTACTCAAAACAAAATGGGCCTAGAAATGTACACCACCATGATGGCTGTTGGTCATAGTGGGAGTTTGTTCCTTCTAGAGTATGGTGGGAAGTCTAATGTACCTTAGTAAGTGTAACAGACTATACAACATTGCGAATTCAATTCCGTTTCGGTAAATTAATCTCACCCAAACTGCACAAATGATCCATTAATGCCCATGTGCACCAATCAGAATACAAGAAACTGGTTGGGTGCCGAAAAGGGCTGAGGAACGTCATAGAATGTCACCGAAAACAACCAGAAAATATGTCCTCTTCTACGCACGCACACACACCGTGGTCCAGTAGGATCAGAGCTCCTTGAAAACGGTCGGATGTGTGTTTCCAAAATAAACCCACACATTCGAGTAACACTGTGGAATGATTGGGAAAGGACCGTGGCGGGAGTAATCGAACAGAAGTCACAATTAATACAACACTTTCATATCTCCATGTTGACAAGACGCCTCCGGTTTTTTCATAGATTTGTGCCATTTCGATGCTTCACCATGAATCCATTTTTGTGCAGAACTTCCCTGTTTCCTTTTATATGAGTTCGTCCGTCGAAAATGTGTGTAATATTCTCTAGTAAATCTTATGTTTCTTCTTTCATAAAGGAAAACGACTTGCCAAAGTACATTTTGGTAAGGTACTTTGTCCAAATTAGAAATATTTGATTTTAATAGGTGGCCTGAATTTATTTAGAAGCCTAGGTCACACTCCCCCTCAATTCTGTTGGTTCACGCCATCCCAACCAATCATAAAGTTGCAGGAAAACTGGTTTAAATAGATGCAGTTAGCTGTGAATGCCATTTGTTTTATGGGGATGCATCTGAGGTAGGTTGTGTTACTTTTGGGTGTAAAGCTAGGCAATTTCAATAAATTAATGCATCGAAATCTGTCCAATCGTAGGGAGTCTATAAATCTCTTTTTAAATTGTTCACTAGGTAATTATGAGTGAATATTAAGTATCAAAAAATATGCAAAATAGGATATTAAAGACACTTATTTGGGCGAATGCTCATATGTATTGTGATCTTTGACGAATTCTGTGTCGTAGAAGATTTGTTTATATCTCAGTTATTACTAGGATAGCTACAAATTATTTGACTTTTAAACTTAATTGTGTGTTCAGTCTGTGTTTAATTTGAATTTGTAAACAAAAGGACAGATTTTGAATCGACACATGGAAACTACTTTGAATGTAGAACTACCTCGTTATACGATACCTAGAATGAATTATCACTGGTACATGGTTGATTATGCAATTTCTAAATTATATAATTTTTGTAACTGGTTAGGTGTAGAGAAGGTCGAAAAATTGTATTGCTACATTAGGTTTGCCTGTAGAGACAGAACAGATATCGGACAGTTTGGATTTAAAAATCGATATTGGGACAAAATCATGGGTTACACAAGGCCTCACAAATGCCCTAATCAAGACTGCATTAATGGCTAATATCAAGTTTTCCTAAAAGATTTTTCCAAACCAATTTTTCGGTTTTTCCCAATTCTTTATTACTGAACGAGACCCGTGTGCATACGTGCAGTGTTTGAGATGGGTATTCTGAGCATACACATGTTAAGTCCTGTGTTCTGCGTATCCGGGTTTGAGTCACTTTAAAATTAAAGTGACTAATTGTTGGTGAAAATCTGGATTTGCCTGATACTACAGATGCGAATTGAGTTTAGAGAAAGAATTTTTTCAGTTATGTCCTTTGAGTAGCTACCAGGTGGAAGATGCGGTTCTTGTTCAGCCGAAATTTTCAAAATTCGGTTTCAGTTCTTCTGCATCAGCCAAAATCATGGAGCAAACAAGTGCTAAAACTTTCTTGGTAATCTGGTTCACTGCAGTTAATCTGATTATAATGGTCATCGTGTAAGCCGCCTTTTCTTGGTGAACGAATGCAGTGAGCGTGTCCGTAAAGGATTACTTGCACATCTGCATTGGTAAACACAACTGGTACGAACAGGTGATGCTTGACACCTGCCCTGTGTTGTCTCACGCTATAATATTTGGAATGGTTTTACCGACGTTAACCTTTCTTGTCAAGTTGTGATTGGTCCCCCGCATGATTTACCCAGTCAAGAATGCTATATTTCCGCTTAGTAATTAATTCAGGTGTGTCATGATCGGTTCTTGGTGCTTCCTTTTCATGCTCTCCAAATGAGTCCGCTTGCAGATACAAAATTCGCGGTGTACGAAACGCGGCCTTTCTGCCCTGCGTGATTTCTGGGCTGGCGATCAGCTGCTTTAACAGTTAAAATTTAGGCAATGGTCCGCCTACGTGACAGCTTCATGGCATTCTATCGTACTTGGTGAAGGCTCATTGGCCGTTTGCTTTGACAAGTATATTTGGCGCTACTATGCCAACCAATGTTACATATGTCAACTCACTCGAGGGATGACCAGTGTGTTTGACAGTTTTAAACCCAAACCCACTCGAGTTGGTCTGGACAGCGTTCATTAATCTTCAACTTGCGGCTTTTATTGCTACGTTGTAAGCAAGAAATTACATTGCAAGTAATTACGAAATTTGTTATACTAAATCACCAGCGAATGATGGTGTAGGACTGACTCCTAGTACGGCACTTTTTGATGTGATACAGCCAAGCACGGTGCAGCTAAAATATGTAGAGGCGAATGAATGACTACTTTCCACCAGCAGAACCCGAGATTAAAGGAGGCGACAGGACCGAATCTTTCTTCTTCCTCTGGGCATTGTGTGACTGCTTGAGTGTTTTGTTTGAGTACTTGAGGAATGTATGGATGGGATGCAAACATAAGCCAACATGCAGTAAGCCTGTTCGGACATGTTTTCTATGGCTGGCCACTACAATTACAAGGCGCTGGTGTGTTTTTGTTTACCTTGAAACAAGACTTCCGTAATTGTGGCAAAGTTTTACTGACACATCAAATCTGTAACATAAAACACCTTATTTGTCTACAAGAACCTGCTTGATAAATTTACGAAAGTCGAATTCGCCCAATCCGAGAGCTGAATGCGTATTCGATGCACGGCTTCAATAAAATAGGAATGCAATTTTACACCAAAAACACTATTTAGGAAGACAAAAAGTGTTTGCCGCAGTGGCCCACTGTGGGCAAAACGTTTTCTCCCGTCAAAATTTAAGATTTTAATTGCCCTATGAAAAGAGTTTGGCACGTTAAATTTGCAACAAGCGAGTAAACAAGGAAAGTGCTTGTGCCCACACAAATTTCCGCACAGGTAAAATCAGATTTTTCCAAAACAGAAATCCCTGAATAATATGGCTAAAGTCTTGAGTCAAATCTGCTGAAATGTTGCGCCTGCAAACTGAGCTAAAATTTCACAGAGGTTGAATTCTGATCAAATTTAGTTAAGGCCACTTCTGTGTTGGCTAGTTTTGACACTTTGGGAAACATCAATTTGATACGTTAATAAATATACAACATTTGAAAAGATTACAATATACTTCCCTTGTCGAATTGTTCGGCTGTCAGCGTTTCTTGCTTCGCATACCTTCATCAGCTCACGGATCAGCAATGAGATTCTTAAATACTCAAGTTAATAGTAAATTGTGTTTATCTACATACGTGTCAATGCGCTCACAACAACTTTAGGTGTTTATATAAGAGGCTTTAGAATATTTTATCGTCGGATTAATTATGGGGCTAATCTCTGTGTGTGTAAATTATAGACAAATGTCAAAAGTCAGTGAAATAGAGTGTGTGTGTGTGTGTGACTGCCACGAGTGATTCAACTTCTCTGGGAACACAACTAATTTAACGGAAATGCAGTTGAAATCCCCACTTTAATTAACCAATTTAGTCAAGCATGCCACTCTGAATTCAAAGTTCAAGTAAAATTCTCATTGTGGCCTCACTTAAAAGTCCCTTGTGGGAGAGCAATGAGTTTCCCAACATTCTTATGAGACGTGCTCTCTTTTGAAGAAATGGTATCCCTTGCTCGGGAACCTGAGAAAGTTGCTTTTCACTGTATCAAACAATCATTATTGTGGGCGTCTAGACAAACTCACCTGAGCGCCCTGATGTGCGTTGTGTTGGCGATGTGCGCGACATCCTTGTGGGCGAGACCCACGACCCACCACGACCTTCCAGACGAGGGGGCCTTTTCGCGTTGGCGACGCCCGTTTTTCAATCCGTACCCGTCCTGGGTCTCCTACCTCAAGCAGGTTTACAGGCAGCGTCACGGCTCTCAGAACGAGGAGGATTTGAACGAGTCTTCCCACCTCAATCCTTTCCCCAGTCTAGAGCTCCACGAGCACGACTACGTTGACGATGCCTAACGAGACCATTCGAAGACCTGGAGCAATGTGACTCTCACGTTTATTGATGTGTACGTATAATATAGAATTACCTTAAATATAACTGCGGTTTTACATGTGATTTTTAACATTAAAATGAGCAGCTGCCAATTCATACTCAGGCGACCTTTCAAGATTCGACATTTTATGCGAAATATGTTTGGAAAGTAGTAATGAAGAATTTGCACACGTGGGAAACAATAAGGCAAGATCTTTTTAATGAATTCGCAGGTTAGAAATTAGAAAGTACACCGATTCACGAAATTTTACAGTCATCTTGCGGAAATCAAAAAACAGTAGCCAAAAGTATCTTTGAGGTTGTGTCTAAAATAAGTATTAAATACACTTTTTGTTGAAATTATGACTCCGTAGTTTTCCTTGTGTATTTAAGGACCAAAAGTGAGCAGACTGGTGGGTTTAAGTTGTGGGAGACCCAAGAGACATTATAATCTGTTGGTGTTCGCCTCCACAATTGGACTCGCCTGATGATTCGACCAATTTTGAAGTCTTGATGCTTGACAATCGATTACTCACTCACTCCTTCGCCTGTACCGGGTATCAACTCTAATTATACATGCGAGTTTTAGCCCTTTTTAAGAATTCTGGACTTAACGCAGCGACAGTACTAAGTAAACTCAATCTACGGTAACGTTAAGTGACCTCACAACATTGTGGTTTGTTTCAAGAAAACCTCGATTCGGTCATGGGTTAACCCTCCACGCGAGTAGCACTTAAGAACTTTACCTGCATGCATGTAGGGCCTTCGCAAACATCTCTATTTGGTTATATTGCAGTTGAACTTGATTTCTGCAAGTGATTTTACAAGAAATTTGAACCACATTTGAAAATCGATCGCAAAAGTGGACAGTGCTTTTGACGCTGGTGTTGAAGTAATTCATTTAAAGACGAAGTCGAGGAATCAATCACCTGCCTTCAACCCTCCGAGCGTTGACGGAAGCAGAAGTGGCCCAGTGAATTTCAACAATCTCACACTACCTCGAATCGACTTGCCAAGTCACTGGCAAACAGGAGCACGGAGAACATTTTTTAAAAAAATGCAAGAAACACAATCACTAAGGACCGTTTTTTTAATTTAATAAGATTTCAATGCTACCCCAAGAGATCCAGAGTTCGAGGTACAACGCGGCACGCAATCCAGTCTAGGACATCAATCCTACCACATCGTTCACTCATGCACGCACTCTTTGGTTTGCAACCATTTTAACTTGCAAGGGTTACTGTCATCGTTGTCTCGTGTGACCCAGGCTGAAATGTATCTCAGTCGATCTTTTAATACACGTATGGAGACACCGATATATTGCCATTCACGACTATGCGAAATTTCACGTTAGGAGATTCTTTCGTATTCGCTGGATCACCATTGGTTTCCGCATTTAGAAGACCCACCATTCTACATACTGACTTGACGTTTCTCGAGTTGCTTTTATGGAGCTATCCGGTGGAAAATATCATAGCAGATATTGAAAAGAATGAAAAGTAACGTTACATGACCTTACTGTATACCTTATCAACCGTCCATATTGGAATCATGCCCATTGTTTTAAAAGTTCATGAAAGCTTTTTAGTGGCTTACGGCTGATCAAAACTAGAATGTGGCGTGTTTGCCTTGGTTGTAGGTCCATCAAGGATCCCCAAGTAATTTACCCCTCAAACTTTATCTCTATAGGCTTCAACTGTAATCCGTGTATGTCTGATTTTGTCGTTGACGCACCCATTTCTCCGTCTTCTGACCCCTTTAACCTCCAGGCCTGTGTACGGCAGGAGGGCACTGGGATTGCGGTCAAAGGTCGACCTGATTTCCATTTCGAGAAGTGCGTTGAGTGCCCATCGATTTCAATGTCTCCAACAATGCAAATGATAGGATAACGAGAAAATTCGATAACTTACTTCTTAGAGATCAAATTGGTACCCTAAACTGCTACTCACAGGACACTACAGCGACTGAATGGACTAAAGTATGTGCATTTGCCGATCTTCACTCCGACGTCAAGTTCTGGAAGGCGCAATGCCTTGATGCAGTGCTTGATATTGTTGGATGGTTTTCCATTAGTGTGAGGTCATGTTGGAAACATCCGAGGTGGCGCAATAATCACCAAACATTCAGCTTAGTTGCAGCTGTTGACGATTAGAGCGGATGCATTGTTCATGGCTTTTTAATGTCAGTTTGAGATAAACCGGATGTTACATACTTGGCATGTAACCAAACTGACATACTGCCTCAAAGACTACAATAAAAATCTTCTGGTAATCAACGCGTACTCCAAATGCCTACCTTTTGTAAAGTATACATTGTCGAAAAGAACAAAAACTGTTTAAGCTCGTTGGTGCCAGCAAACTAGCGCCACGTTAGCAACGATTTCGTATCAACAAAACAGCCAAATTTTGTTAATTCCTGTCTCACGCAAGGAACACTTTTATCACTTGCCTCGCCTTGATTGTAATTTAACTTCGATTTACTGCTAACTCGGAGCCACTCTAATAGAAAAAGACATGCGATGGCCCTACACATCTTAAAATTACAGAATGCCGCGTTTGCTGGTTTTGCTTGCGGTGTTTCCGAGTGCTGACCTTCAAACTAGTCTATCGAGATTGAAATAGTGCCACCGAGATTTTGCCTAGAACGGACTCAGCTAATGCCTTCTTTCGCACGGAGCCCGTTAGTAATTTGAACATGAGGTTTTCACGATTTGCCAAAAGTATACCACGACACAACATTCGTTGTAAAGTGCGTGGAAGTGCATCTAAGTACAGCAGTGTAAGTGGCGACCACTCCTCTGTGGGTGTTCAATGTAGTCATTCGGAGTTCTTGTGATTGCTTAATTCAGGGAATTAATCTAGCCAGCCCAATCGAATGGCAACACTCACAGAAATCCCTCAAAGACTGACCACGTCCTGATAAGCCATCCAGTTAAAAAAGGCTTTTGCCAGATAAATAATAGCGCATTTGATTTCAATATCAGCTGATGTCACTTGGTTAACATTTGCTAATCTTAGAGGTGAAGATAAATACATTGGTTCCTAAAGACCGCTGTAATAGAAAAAACTTTATTAGGCACCATCTACTGTTAGCTAAGTGCGAGACACCATGTGGGAGAACAGAGTACAAGTGCAGTCCAACTTTCTTGGTTGACAAAAAAACACGAAGGATTTGGTCGACCTTGCTCCCCGGGCAGATTGCAGTTATGGCCCGAGGGAATTTGCCTTGACTCAAGTGGCAGTCGCTGACGTGCGTCGTTTGTCACAGGCACCATGTGCTTTACACAACCTTGAAGTCCCACGTTGAACGGCGACGACGAACCAGTTGAATCAGTTCGGGCGCAAGTTCCTACGCAAACTGCAAATGTAGGCATATTTTAATCCCTCGGGTATTGGCTTTGCAACACCGTCAACACGCACTTTGTGCGCTATGCTTTGTTAGGTAATTACAATTCCCAGCACAGCACTCTGTACTGTCTAATTAGGCGATCCTTTATTTTCTGCAAAAATATACTTATTGTTACTTATTATAATTCAGTACCCAGTTTTGCAGAAACGAGATAAGATCAGACAACTTCACATGTAAAACTCATTTTGGCTAATTTCACTTGCACCACTGGATTCGTCTGTGTTGGAAACTAAAGTTATTAGTGAAATACGTGTTTAGTTTAAGTTATATTAATAATGAAATCAAAATATTCTCGAGTGAAAACCTGACTATGCACAAATTTCATCACCCTGTTTAACAACCCTGTTAACCGAAGCTGAGTAAAGTAATATTGCGCAGGTGTTAACGATTCATGAGATTTGCGATTGTGCAAGCAAATTAAAATTACGGTTAGATGGCATTAATTAAGAACTTCTTCTTATTTCATAAAGATTTGCAACCAAAAACAGAAATTAACTTTCGCAATCTCCTCTTTTGTTTAGGTCTTGAATAAAAGGCTACTTGCTGTTATAAGTAGATTATTTTCAAAATAATTGCATAATTTTTTGTCACCTGTTATTTCGAACCGCCGGTCGATCACTGGAATAGTGGTTGCATGGATTTTGACATTAAAAATCGCCTCTATTGAATAAGTTAGCACTCGGAATTTCTAGATTAGAACTAAACCATTTGCTACAAAAAGTAGTAATTAACTATCGTGCACGTTTCTGGGTCATGAAAGATCGAATTCACTGCTTCGATAAATTACAACAACGAAAGCCACGGATGACTGCAAATTCAGCTCAGACGTGTCCATATTTTACCACTGCTGTCGAAACAATATAAATTAGCACGCGTTTCTTGTCGTCCAACGCGCTTAAGCGGCTGCACTTTCTTAGCATTTTAAACTAGAAGAGTCTTCTGTTAACCGAGTTCATGCAATCAGTCTTGATTGAATTTGTTATAAAAGTTCATTTTAGTGACCCAAGAAGAGGACACCTCTACCTCAAGGCGTTCACTGTACTACATCTGCAGGTCACGTGGCTTTGAATCTGCACTTTTAATTGGCTATTGAGAACGGCTCTTTGTCTGGCTTGTTAATTTCTCGTAGTGCTACCCTTACGATAACGTATAAACCAGAGACTGTGGGGATGCTGCTACAGTCATAGCTGTGATTTTGATCGTGGTGTCGTGAATGTGCAAAGAGCTAAATGCCACGATACTCTGAGATGTGAGAGTCAGCAAGCAATTGTGATCAAGCGGCTGCCAATGCGTGGGACATGAAGTTGCGGGGAGAAGGTCAAACCCCCGAGAGATTTATTCATGCCCGCTGAGTGACGTAGGGAGTTGTGTGTGCGCGTCAAGGTGGTGACTAGTGATGACACCAGTATAATTTAGTAGCTAATTATCTAAAAAAACCACAGACGTAATTTGCGCTAATCAGGTAAATCACTTTGTTGGGATCAATTTCCTTTGTCTTCTGCGCATAACCTGACCACTAAACCTCAGATTACGACGTTTATGTTATTGTTTCAAATGAATTTCAAGGTAAAACTCTTGCCTGGTTTTAAAGGTCATTGAAGTCCGTTTGGAGCATACTAACGACTTTCTACTTTAATTTCAAATTCTACGTAAAATGTCAGAACGCGAACAACGTGTGGGAGCCAGCAGTTGGTGTGTCGTGGAGAGACATGTGAACATCCAGCCTTGTTCCTGCTTGGGATTGGAGGTCGGGGCGTGAAGGCAACTCCTGAAACAGACTTCTCATTTTCTAAGCTACGCTGAACTTGTTTTGACACTACATAAAATCAGGGAATGTGAAAAGGGAACAAGACAGAAATGAATCTCCTCAAAATAAACTTGCTTTAAAAAAATCAAGCATCTCGGTTTGTAGTGAGTGGAGTTTCAGCTAGCACATTTTTCGAGTTTAATTTTATTCAACAGCCTTCCATGTTATTGAAAGAGTCTTAATTGTTGAATCTGATCCTTACGATCTGAGTCTTATGTTAGTGATTTAGAGCAAAACTCAGTGTCTGGGGTCGTAAAAATGGCTTCGATGCAAAACTTATCCGAACTTCGTTTTGATACAAAGAATGGAAACCCTTAAAATGGGCTGAAGACACTCCAACTGCCTACATACCTTTACTCTTCCGCCACTTACATCGGAAGCTCTCATCTGTGAATTACAGGGTCTTGGACTCGATCCAGTTAAACGGGCTCCATTTAGCCTTGTAGTTGTAGCAGACAGCCATCTTGGTTGCACTAGTAACTACGTTATATCTTATTCCCACATTTTTATGGAAACAAAACCTGTTTGTTTTAAAAATTAACAGCCACTTTCAGCATCCTCGGTCAAATGAAAATAAGGGATGGCGTGGTGACGAAAGTTTGCTTCTTAAACGGTGACTTGAAACTACCGAAACCCATTTACAAGTACTGTCTCTAGGACGTATTATTTTTGCCGCCTTTTTAACTCAAATTGTTACATTTGCCACAATGTTAGCAATTTTCTGATATTAGTTAGTGGCAGTCCTTGTCAGTACCGTGTTGCTTTGTTCCTTCGTGGTAGATCCTTTCAACAAGCACACTGAAAAAGCTTGGCCTTGCTAATTGGGCCGCCACCCCACATCCACGCAGAAATTTGGGCACCTTCCTCAGTCATTTGTAAATGATACTTCTGTAAAGGCAAAACAATCCGTTTTTTGCAGCGCAATAGCTCATTGCAGCCTCTAATGGTCGTGCATTTACATCAACTTGCGGCAAACCCACTCTCCAGCCAGGTGCCTGCGGGCGTGCCTGGATTGCGCGCTTGTGCACGAGTAAATTTATTTACGCACGCACGAACGCACGCACGCGTGACTTCACAGCCCCTGGGAATTTTTTGCGCGTGTGTGCGTTTGGACGACGGTAGAAGAAGGCCCTGGATGGCGTTCACCTGCTACCCCTATTACCGCCACCCCAGGAGCTTGGAGTGGACAACAACGGAGGGGTCTGTGGTAAACAACGCCAGGCGTGCACGCGACACTGACCGACCCGATCGTAGTAGGTGATCCGAGGCAAATGTGACCCCTGACAAGTGGCTGAAAATCGCTTTCCGCAAATCTTCGCGTTGTAATGCATCTAGGCAACTTTTTCCATGAACCCGTTCAGGGTGCCTGTCATGTGGCTTTGTCTGAAGTCACTGTAATTGGTGGACACGATAACAGCTTCATTGTGTAGCTGTGAAGGGGCATAAATGGTCATTCTGTGGTGTTACTCGTGCTAACTACTGACACCTGCCAATCGTCTTTTCTCCCAAACGACATTTACTTTGTGTTCTTGTGTCGGTTTTACCCAAAGGGGCCATTTTTAAATGACGAAGACCTCGTGTCGTCAGCTTGGTTCATGAGGCATCCGGACTCCCAAGTCGTGTATTTTCTCTCGTATTTGCAGTCAATAACCAATGAGTGACTTGAAAAGGGCTGACATTTTTACTACCAAACCTTGTTGTTTGATGTGTTATTCTTCAATCGAGACGTTTGGAATGACATCATCGAAGTGCGAGAAGGCGTTTGGCACTGGGCCATCTCTGGTACGAAAATGTTTACATTTAAAAGAGGAACATTTAATGTAAGTTTAAGCTGTACAACAATAGAATATGCGTGGAATTAGGAATTCCCAAGCAATGGAGTTCGTGCATGCAGTCAACGTAAAATTAAGGAAATGTTGATTGACAAGCGAAATTTTTGCTGAAATGCACAATCCCTTGTTGTTCAAAGCTATTAATTTAACAAGACTCGGCATAATAACGCTTCAGTTGTAAGCCTGCTTTGTACAAAAGTTCGTCGGGTATTCCTCTTTTGTCTTTTTTATCCATTGGACAGTCAGAATGTGAATTGTGTCAAACCTTTCCAATATTGAGAACTATGTCTAACTTCTCAGTGTCTTTTAAGTAGTTTTTTTATTAATTCAAAGCAAACATCACAGGGTCATCAAAGAGTGTCTGCTGAACTCTTTATATCTCCAACATTCATCGAAATCAGGCAACTGGACGCAGGACAAACATGACCGTGGCAGACACCACAAAATTATTTTTAATCGATTTGACGTTACTCGTGTTAGTAACGCTAACTTATACCAAAAAAATTTAGCGTACACAAGACTTGGTTTTGCGGGTGAGGAAGGTTAAAATCGCTTGACAGTAGCCTCCGCCAACACCTTCACATCCAAGCCGTAGGTGAGAGTGGACGAGGACGGGAAGACTGCGTTGAGGAGAAGTCGGGCACATCTGAAAGACGCCATCAGACGCGATGCCAACAGCACTACTCTGTGCGGAGTGTTCGGTGAGCCGCGGGCTTACCCTAACACGCCGGCGCCGACCACTTCGCAATTTTCTCGATGCTACCATATACCGGTTTATAAATTTCCTCGATATTCTCTGGTGTGTGTGTGTGTGTGTTATCCGAAAGAGTCAATACCATAACTGAAAAATACACGCATGCCACATCCAAATTGTCAACAAGTGTTGTAAGTTGATCAAATTACGGCTAAAGATGCATGCAATTTGCCACAATTTTGCTGTGAATCTATGTTCGTGTTTCGACTACATTTGGTTTTGGGGTTTTATATTCTTGCAAATTTAATATATCAGTGCCACTGGAGACAGTCTTTTCCCACATAAATATATCAAATAGCAAAGTTAATGGTTTTAGTTGCCTGAATTATTGTTAAAACAGTAAAGCATATTGATTTAACATTGGATATGCATTCCCGCAATTTTTGTCAAGGGCACAATTCACATTAAGTTAATGCTGCTGTAAGCCATTCCCGAACTCGTAGCCAGCTAGGTACGTTGATTAAAAATTTGTCACTCACTGTGCTTTTAACATGCCTTCGTTTCCTTTGCGATAAAATTAATTTCACCTCCAAGCAGGCGAAAGTTATTGTCAAGTCCACCCCATTTGGACCATCCACCGTTCGCGTTGTCAGAGCCTTGAGGTTAGTCGCTCTGCTGCAATTATAAACACGCAACATTTCAAGGGTCATAATAAGGGCGCGGCTCCGATCGCAGGCGATAAATTTAGGGAGAGGGCAGTGGTTACTTAATCCAAGAATGGAATCACCGGTGCATAAAGCTGCACTTAAGGACAGACTGAAGTGACCGTGTGAGAACATTCCTTACATCTGGGAAGGACATTATATATTACTGTAAACTAGCTGTTTTCATTGGCCACTCGAGCGTTGGTGCTTGCAAACTTGCTCTGGCTGAAAGACAACGCCCGACCCTAGATGACAATTTGGACCTAGATTTTTGACAAGTAGCAGCGGCAGCAGGCACCGCGCCGTCTAGGGGCCGGGCGAGCGAGGCTCGCGTGCGCACACGTGCGTGGAGGACGCCAGCGTCTAACTGGCGTGCGGCGCGCTCTCGATTTGGCACGAGCATCCCGCAGTCACGGATTGAACTAAAGTACAGACCCCTGCTACTTCCATGGTAGTCTACATTGCACTTTTATTTTCGTGTGCTGGCGCTAACACGTGTCGGGGTGGCTATTCATCTAGTGGTCAAAGAATGCCATGGGCGCCATGTTTTGCGCAACGCCAAATCGACCAATAAGCAATGTTTTCTACAAATCGTTTGTGGAAAAAACTGATTTTTCATATGTTAACTTGTGGCCTACTGATTTTGCTGCTTTCTCACAAGTGAAGAAAGCCTTGCTAAACAATATTTGAACTGGTATAACTCTGCGGGCATGCATTAGTCGAAGAGGTTCTTTTACAAGTTGATTCGGATCAAAACTGGTGACCAAATTGCTCATACCGCGATAGCTTTTCAGGTAATCTGATCGTTTTATCAAAGGTAGACTGAGGAATTTACTTTTTTTTCAACAGCCTGTGCATGGTATCTTTTTCCATTACCACGTTAGCATTGCATCAAGTCTGGCACTTGCATAAATTTAGAACAGTTTAAATAAAGGCTCGTTGAGCGAATTCCCAGTGGACCACTGATAAGTCATTTGACAATTCATTTATTTTATTTTCTTTAATTATAATTTGTATTCTCCCTCAAATTTCCATCTACAATGGTCAATGGTTTTAGTTACGGGCGGATCAAATTGGGTACTTCTTGTTTTTTTCAACTATGTACATCCACCAGAGTTGACCGATGGGCCAGTTTAGTCGTCGATTGCACTGCCATTGGCGTCAAGCTACCACGCCGAATGAATGGCGCTATATCGACACACAGCCTTCTTTGAAATCAACTCTGTATGCCTCATGTATATTGCCGTACTGAAAAATTTGCCAGGCATCTAAGGTACCACACGATATTGGTTCACGTGATCAGTCAAAATCACAGCATTTGCAGAACAATTAGAGGCATTGCTTCCTTAGACATGCACGTACTTGCATGCGCTGACCCGAGGTCACTTTCTCTGGCCGGATATTACACAAGTAGTGAGTTTCTATGGCGCTACATAGGAATGCTGAGGGGAGTTCCGGCATATAAGGCAATAGCTGCTCCCACCTAGATTTGTCGTGTAGTTTGCTGTTGTGTGTTCAATTACACGACATATATCTCTATCAACCTGACGATTTTAGTGGGGTACCGGGGTCTTTAGCTCGCTTCGTGAGCAAGCAGCGTTAAATTCAGCCAAAGATCAATTCTGATTTCGTGGCTTCAGAAATTAAAAATACTCAAATCCACAGCGAAATTGTCTTAAACAGTAGTGTGGGTTTCCATGATGCCTAATATGGAGTACAGCTTTCAATTTTCGTGGTTTTACTGCATATTATGGTGCTGGTGCAAACAAGTTTAGGGTCCAGTCAAGAAAGCAGTTGCAATAGCTCGTTACAGGTTAGTTCCAGAGCTTCCACCTTAGAAAGTG